CGCACCTCAGCTCAAGTTGAGACAACTGCTTGCAACCTGCAACCCGAAGCGACACATGCCCGACTAGGGTCAGGAACATTAACGAGGTAACACACGGCCAGGATCCTGTTCGACCTCCAAAATCCTCGCACCCGAATGTCAGCCCAAGACATATTACCAAAACGGGCAGCTAAAGTAGCAAAGTAGCGAATGTCATGGACACGAGGATAGACCACAGGTTGGGTAGATCGAATAACCCTGCAGACGACCTGGGAGACCCAAGCCCTGAAACAGGGAAGAATGGAAACTGGGTCAACTCAAAGGGCGTCCCCGGCCACCGAGGCCATGGCCCACAAATAAATGGGAAGAGTCGCAACCGAACACAACACATGATGCACCCCCTACCGACCCAACCCAACCAAGCATCAACAACCCCTTCAGAAAGCTGCCATCTCGTTCTTCGCCAGAAAAGAAGGATACGGCTGCAAACGAACAAACCTACCACCAGGACTGAAAGAGCAGAAACCCCTGCGCCGGAGGAGAGCATGAAGTTCCCTGACCCGACTCTCAGAAGCTAATGCTAACAGGAAAAAAAACATGAGAAAAACAATCCAGAACCGAAGGGGCCACCACAAACTGAGGAGAAGTGAGAAAAGAGAGCACCCGGTCCAAAGACCAGGACAGCTCAGGCGGCGAATGAGTAGGCCCGAGGTGAAACAACACACGAGAAAAGCTTGCGGAACAAAGCAGAAGTAACAACCCCCTAAACGCAAGCAAAAGTGGCTCCACCAGCGCTGCACGATACAAGGCAACAGCATTTGGCATCAAATGCCGGTCCTGAAAAAGACAAGAGAGAGAAAGGACAAAGCAACCCGATCCAAAACCTACTAAGGGAGAGAAAACGACAAACAGAACGCCAGGAAACTTCACACTGTCTCCAAAATGAAGCTCGTAGGTGGGACACCAGCAACTAAGTCACCTGATCATCATACAAGTGGTGAAAGAGCTGCGTCAGAAAAAAACAGACGAGAAGATCGAACCAGCCACATACCGGACCGGTCCGACCTGCTGAAAGAGGCAGAGCCGCGGAAAACATTGCGGGTTCGGACACCGAGCAAGCAGTGCTTGAAACCAAGGCTGGGCCGGCCACCAAGGGGCCAACAGGACTACTCTCCCCTTGGACAGCTCCAAACAAGACAGGACCTGAAGTAACAGCTAGGCCGGGGTGAAGAGGTACAGGTAACCACAACTCGACCAGTCCTGCCGAAAAGAATCCACTGTGACGGCCTTGCAGTCGGGGTAGGGTGCCACATACACGGAAAGACACCGAGACCACCCCGATGCAAAGAGCCCCACATCCGGGAGCCCATACGTCCGGCAGAACCAACGGAAGGAGTGGCGGAAGGTGGGCCAACAACCTAACATCTAGCAGACGTACATGGGCCACCACAAACTGGGCAATACACGGAAAACGTGAGGTGCCAGAGACCGGCCAAAGGAAAGGCAAGGAAGACGAGAAGCAAGCTGCCCCACCACGAACCTAACCAGTCCCTGACACACAGGCAGTAACCTCCAATGGCCTCCCAAACCCCCCCAAAGGAAAACCCAAGCGGTAGAAAACCTCCAGAACAGAACTGAAGAGCCCAAAGGAACCCGGAAACGAACCCGGGGAGGGGGGGTAAACATACCAGAGAACCTTCTGTTGGTTCTGTGATGAGTTTCTGTGAGCCAGCAACCATTTCCCAGGTTTCTCTGGGAACCAAAGGTGTCCAGAGAAACAAAAAAGGAAGAAGGCCTCAAAAGAAAGAGCATACAGTAAAATGGCAATGGGAGGAGATGGAAGCAAAAACACTCCCCCTGAAACGCGAGCACACACTCCCAGGCACATGTAAACAAACAAACCGCAGTGCCACCCTAGCGGCCATGCAAGGAAGCAACCCGCAGAAGGAAAATGGCCGCCAAACAAAAAAAAGAGATGCGGCTCATGCAAGGGATCCGAAATCACGCCGGTGAATGTGGGAAAAACAAAGCAGGCAGGAGGGGGGACTAACCCCCCCTCATGCCCAGAAGGCACAAAACCCAAGCTGGGGCAAACAGCCCCAGAACCGCTAGCACACTCCCCTTCCACAGCCCCGGGAAACCGCAACGGAGGCCAAAGCTGGCTCGCATGACTGTCGCCGACCCGGATGGGGCAGTCCCCAAAGCCGCTCGAGTCTCACAAACATCGAAACCCCACCCTGACTCCGAAACCTCAATGTTTGGGAGCCGGGAGCATGGGAAGGGGGGAAGCAAAACAAACAACACCAACCAGGGAGGGGCTCGGGAGCACAAACAAAACCAAAATCAAAGTGACGAACGTCCCCCCCCCCCCCAAGTCTGGGTCCTTATAAAAAAAGTGGGGCAGCCTCAGGACATCCGGTGAGCAACCAACCTAGGGCAAGGTAACAGCAACCGATACCTAGCATGCGAGCAGCAAAAGATCCCTACGGAGGTAGTCCATGAATGACTTGTGGAAGATAACCCCAGGCTACACGGGCAGTACTTACAGAGCACCTAAGGAAGATGGCCCTAGGCGCATGCAGCCTCAATACTCTGTGAATTATACCTGGCTCGAACACCACAACACAGCGGAACAACACCACAAGGGCATAGCACTGGACAGAGACTGGAGCCAGAGTTGAACGACCGCCAATCAATACATCAACCTAAGAACTGAGGTTGGATGGCTGGCACAAGGGTCCGGGGCACCCCCATTCCTCATCCTGGGGAGGGAGGAGCTGGGGAGGGAGGAGCTGCGCAGTCAGTGGCGTAGCGGCAATTGTGACGTCATGCTTGTTTGCTTGTTTTCAGATTGTGGAGTTCTGCTTGATAGTTTGCTTTTCAGTAGCAATTTTCACCATGTGGAGTTTGTTATGGGACCCCTACCTTTCTAGGTACCTAACCCGGTAGATAGCAGACATAGAATGCTTCCAAACACATGGGGGGTTTCTTTAAGGCATTGCTCCTTGCGCCTCTCCTGGGGGGGGAGGGGCCAGGTTCTGGCTAGCAGTCCCCGGTAGGCAAGAACTCTGATCGAATTGATTGATGCCGCAATCTAATACATATATATCAGCCCGGTAAGCTCTGGGAAGCCGGATGGGCTCTCCACAGAAAATATGAATATGTTGTGATGTAATTAGTCAGGTATAAATGGGTAGGAGTTGGAGCATAAAGAGCTAGATCTCACTCCTACTGTCACTGATAGGTAAGCACTGACATCCGTACCTGGATTGTATCTGGATGGAGTTGTTCTACTCTCCAGCCCCGGCCCGGGGTCAGGCTTGACTGACTGAATCTCCATGATTCAATGAGTCCTTTAGTTACCATTTTACACTGATTAATTATGCAGTTCTTCACCTTAACCACAGCTTTGTTTTGATATTTGTAAATTTCCTTTAGAATCGTTCGCAGAATATCAACACGTGCACTCTTTCCTCTTTAAGTATGAAGAGATTCAGCTCCTCCAGTACTAATATTGGCATTGGTACGTATATAATATTTGTTATTGAGACATTACTCAAGATCATATTCCCCATCAATAAAGGTTTATAATAAAGTGGTTAAAAAAAATACACAGTAACAGGAAACTCCCATCATCGTACGAGTCTTTGAAGTACCCATTAACTTCGACATCAATCATGCATAAACTTGTGTTCTCAATACACACTTCATTATATTTTGTCTGGAACCAGACTCCAGATATAACATTATATTTTGTCCATCCCAGTACTGGAACCAGACTCCGGATATAACATTATATTTTGTCCATCCCATTACCAATGCCTGGCCTCTGGACTTAACATGTGATTATGACAAAAATACTGAACACTCAACACCCAAAAAACTTAATGATGTAAGCACAGAGGAACAAACAAACTCATATGAGCACATCTGCCCCATCAGTGGTAACAAGACATTTGAAGCAATTCAATAAGATTCATTAATATTCGTCTTATTGCAATGCTTCATCACGTTCATTACCAAGATTCTCAGTCATCTTGACATATGAAAGACCAAACTCTAAACCTGGCCAGGGCCTTAAGTTTATGCCTCATATGGCTATGACAAGGTAGGTACTACATACTCTCACTTCCAACACCACTGATTCTACAATATTAATCTTATCTTGCTGCACATATACACAGACACACGCAACATAATAGACTTGGAAGTAGGGCTGCTAACAACACTGTCAATGGAAATGTCATACAAGGACATACCTGTGCGCCATGGTTAATATTTTCTGTACCTAACGCTAACAGATTTCGTGTGGCAAATGCGTGACCCATTATAGTTCTTCTAGTCACTAACAGAAATCCCACGAGTATTTCTCGAAGTGTTGTTGTCTACACTTTAGAATGGGTTCACCAAACTTTCAATAATACCATGAGATGTCGGATACATGTATTGAGAGCAGCGGAACCTCCTGGTGCCTTCAGTTCCTCATACCAAAAAACCTTAGGATGCACATGATAAACTCTTTGAACCATCAGTAGACATATATACAGTATTCTTAAGGTTTCTACTGTAATATAAATGCTACACCAACAATCTCCATCACCTGATGGGGTTCCCTCCTCATGTATGCATCTTCCTACCTCTCTCAATAACATGTGACTCCCACATATTATTACAACTTCTCCTTGTTACCGATTTCAAATATGCTGAGAAAATAAGGATGTCATTCTCCGTTTCCTTCTTTATAAATGTGAATAGTGGCTTCCAGGCCCTATTAAATTTAAAGATGCCATGGCTACTGTATTAAAGTACAGTACCATTATCAAGTCAAGGGATCAGGAGAGTGACACCTTATGGTAAATAAAGAGCACATGATTAATACCTTGACCAATGATGAGACAGGTGTCGCTGACTTCACGTCTAGATGGATTCTTCTTATTTGTTGACAACCAACCATGGTGACAGCAGACAAAGAAGCAACAGGAAGGCCCTGGTAGGGATTAGTTATTTCTTCATTTTCTCACCATTTCCTGGAGGTACACGAATGGCCACGATCTTGCCGTCATTCAGCCGTAGGTAAATGCCCTTCTGCGTCTTGATAACCATTACTGACTGGCCCGCCTTCAGAAGAATTGGCTTCCCATCTCCCGAATTTGTGGGGATGCTAACCTCTGCAATACAAAGTTTATTGGAAATACTGAAACATTTGTTGGCAAGTTAATTTCTGCACCATAAAAGTCATTGGAGCTAGTGAACCCTTTGTAACCAACTCAAACTCTGTAACACAGAGGTCATTACATTGATTTAAACATTTGGGGAGGATATTATCCTCTGCAACATTAGAGGATTCAATAGCCATTAGAGCTCTTTTAAATAGCCTTGTTCATGACTTACAAAATTAAGCCTGGTTCATGAACCACAAACTTTAGCCTTGTTCATGACTCGTTCATGAGCCATAAGCTTTAGCCTTGTTCATGACCTGTTCATGAGCCACAAACTTCGTTCATGACCCACGAACTTTAGCCTTGTTCATGACTTACAAAGTTTAGCCTCCTTCATGACACTCGATCACCCTCAACCTACACTTATACCCTTGTAGAACAAACTCAGGTAATGCCGTTAACCCCCATTATTTATCCATGGACTGAGCCGAGACCATTACTCCCCACCATGATGTTACAGTTGCACCTTAGAGACAGCTAACTAAGACCCAGTTAAAAAGTAATGATACACTGAGATCACTTCATGTTTAGCTATTGCATAACAATATGGGAATGTAAGAATTAAGGAACCACAGAAGGTTTATAGGCCAACACGAGATAGTTTGAATTGGCCCATGAGTGTGCCAACTCCTTTTTATAGCCAGCCAAATACATTCATGTTTAACTTACACTTGAAACAATTGAGTGATCCCATATCTACTGTGTTAGCAGGTACTTTGTTCCTTGACTGAACTACACTGTACAAAACACAACATAAGAAAAGTCCCCATAAACACACTAACATGGCTAAATATTTGACACCCAACCTACACACCCAAAAATATAGGAAGTAACAATGTTTTGGCCCATCCAGGATCACACGACCTGGTATTAGTCCTGGCCGGACTTGATGATGGTCCAGGACAGACAGAATAATTATTCAAAACAGGCTTGATAATGGTTAAGGATGGCTTTGAAAATGGTGTAGGACAGACCACAACATTGTCACTTCCTTTATTTTCAGATGTGTACTCACCTAACCTAACTGTGCTTGTGGGAGATGAGTATTGGCTCACTGACCTTATCTCTCAACTGTGGGTTGGATGTCTTCCCTTATAAAGGATCAAAATGTCGAACTGAATGCCTCTTTACTAACCCTTAGGCACGGTGATTTGCTGAACAGACACCCCCTGTTTGGCTAGAGCCTCGACGGGGAAGTTGGGCTGAGCTCCACGCGATAAAATGTTCGGTCGGTGGATGATTCCGCCTCCTTCTAACCTATGACCCATTTCTGCTTGTAAGGGCCGTACTGTGCCAACGGGCTTGGCATACACCACTCCGCTGTAACATTTATGTTTACAATGACATTTAAATACTTAAATTATGCATCAAATGCTTTACATATTAATGGCTTTATTTAACATGCATCCTCTATACCTACAGAGGTTGTATAATAATAATTGTATAATGTGTATAATAATACATTTATTATTATAATATAATACTGTACCTGTATATGTATACATTATGCATATGTGTAAGTATGTATGAATGAATGAACAAAAAGTGAAAAATGTATGTAAGAATGAACAAACAAATGTATAATTTAACCCTTAAAGGGCACAATACATATATAGCCAGGGTGAATAGCTATTGCAGGATGGCACACCACAACTATGTATGGTTGGGAGTACCATTAAGATTCCAAACTCCCACAAATTCCAAACTCGGGGTTCACATCAGCTTCCTGCTTGATACCTGGTTGATGGGGTTCTGGGAGTTCTTCTACTTCCCAAGCCCGGCCCGAGGCCAAGCTTGACTTGTGAGAGTTTGGTTCACCAGGATATTGTTTGCAGCAGCCCGCAGGCCTACACATCCACCACAGCCCGGTTGGTCCGGCACTCCTTGGAGAAAACTATCTAGTTTTCTCTTTAAGATCTCCACAGTTGTTCCGGCAATATTTCTTATGCTCACCATGCAGACACCATGTTTTAAGTAGATCACCATAAGCAGACACCATGTTTTAAAAAAATTGTGGGCAACATTCCCGGGTGTGAAGGCCTCAGTACTGAGTGAGCAACCAAGGCTGGCACTCACAGCATGAGCTAACAGCACTGCTGTTCAGCTTGTGACCACAGCATCACCTAAAACTTTCAAAATATATATGTAACTGGAATTATTTTGCCATAATAGTATTACAGAAGAGTCCGACTGTGGTAAAGACTGTGTACAATGTTCCGATATCAGTGAACTCAATGCTGTTCAAGATGTTCACAGCGCTAGCCACAGCACACTGCCATTGTTTCGTCCCTCTAAGAATCTTCAAACAACTTCTCATGTTTCTTTACAAAATAAACTTGTGGAAAAATTATTCATTTATAAGATTTAGTGAGCAGGATTCTGATAATAGCAGGATTGTGGTGAGAATTAGCAATGTGTACATTATGGTGGGAGGAGGAATCTTGGCGAGGAGGAAGGGAGAGGTGGCGTCGTCTGCTGACTGTTTGGCGACCTGTTATTGTCTGGACTCACCATACCAGCTTAGAGGCTCGCTATGGTGAGCACAAATGAAGATACTTATGTATAGCATGTGTGTGTATATAGTGTAATAACAGCAAAAGGAGTATGTTGGGAGGAGCCATTTTGGTGATGAAGGTGTTGGTGATGGAGGGAGTGACATGCTGTCGTCTGCTAGCAGCTGTTTCACGTGTCATGCAGTTTTTTGTTGTCACTATGTTGTTTGGACACCATACCAGCTTAGTTGCACAGTTATGGTGAACAAAAGATGTAGATAATTATATATAATGTGTGTATACAGTGTAATAAAAGCACAAACAGTATTGTGGTAGGAGGAATGTTGGCGAGTAAGGTGTTGAAGGAGGGAGGGAGGTAACATCTGCTGGCTGGTGTGAGGCAGCCCACTCTTGTTGTTTGGACTTATCATACCTACTTAGTGTTTCTCTATGGTGAACAAAACATACAGATACTTATATATAACCTGTGTATATAATGTAATAACAGCAAAACTATTTGTTTATTGTCTTATGAACATAACTGAATGACTAATATGCACACCATACTTTTGAGTATAGCAATGGATCACACATTTTATTATATCAATATATCACACTACACACTATTGAATAATATTACCGAAAAAAACAAAAAAATAACAGAAGAAATCAATCAAGACACATTGAAAAAATTAGGTAATAACATCTTTGTGGCAATTCCTGCCTGACTGCACAGCAGTAGCAGGTGGAGGAGGACAGAGCAGAATTCTTACTGTCTCAGCGCCTCAATTTTGACTGAATTCCTCGCTCAATTGCAGCCAAAATGTGTCACCAACGATTGTGTTCGCAGCCTCCAAATATGACACCCCCCCCCCCAGTGCGCAAGAAATAAAATCTCTGGAAAAAATTCTTTTCCGTTTTTAATGTGTCAAAAACCCTTTCCTGAGTAAGGGTATAGTAACAGAAGGTCGAAATTGTAAGTACTTTAGCTGCTATGGGGTCTGTAAGTTCGTGTGTGATGTCATCATTCCCTGGCCGCCTGTGGTATATGCCCCCGGGGCCGGTAGGGCGCTTGGGGCAGGATGCGCGAGTTGCCGCGAATATATTTTTGTTGATTTTCTGCGCACAGTTCCAAATACATTTTATATGCTTTTATGTGCCAATCCTATGTATAATGAACATGTACACTATATTATGGCAGTAGAACATCTGTACTGTCCGAAGACACTGTGTTACGTGTATGACATGTGTACACATATTCCGCACATATTTCCATTGTATTATGCTAATTTATGTATATACACAGTCTATGTACACACTATACACTATATACATTCACCATCAACACACTCAGAACTCCGAGAGTGTCAGCTGCCACACCCTCACTCCTCCAACATCCAGTCTCTCCCTCACTCCTCCAACATCTTACTCGCCAACATTGCTTCTCCCACCATACTGTTATTGTTTGTATTACACTATTTACACATGTTATGTATACCTATCTACATGTTTTATTCACCAGAACTATGCAAGTAAGCCGGTATTGTGTCCAAACTTTACAGTGGCCACCATACACTGCATGAGAAATCACACAGCAGCCAGCAGATGACGTTACGATTACGTCACCTCCCTCACCAAAATAGCTCCTCCCAACATACTCCTGTTGCTGTTACTACACTATATACACACACATTGTATATACTCATGTACAAATGTGTTCACCATAGCGAACCACTAAGCTAGTATGATGAGCAAAACAAGAGTGGCTGCCACACAGTGAGGCTACTGTACCTCGATTCTCTCCCTCACCACAATTACTCCTCCCACAATACTACGCACATATGTACATGGGTGAGAGACGAGGCATCCATGAACACATCAAGTGAGGGCTCAGGTAGGCGCCACAGCACTGAACCCAGAAAACTACAAAGAGAAAACTGACGATGCAGCAACCGACGTAAAGCCCCCAGAGGCCGAACTCAATGATCACAAGAGCGGCGGAAGGGAGATCCCCAAAGGAAGCAGAACAGCCGCTGAAGTCAAACCCAACCTAGTGGGTAAGCCAGCATGGCGAAGTTTAGACTTCCACACAGCTGTTCAAACACCCATTGTGTGACCGGGAGCCCTCGAGAAACAGGCGAAGGCAGGACTGCAGCCGCAGCTTCCTCCTCTCTCCCTGGCCAGAGAGACAAGCTGCCCAAGTCTCACTACCATCTAAACCCCGCCCCGACTCCGAAACCTTCAGACGTTTGTGAGCATGGGGAGGGGAGTTGTATCAGGATGAACAACACTAACCAGGGAAGGACACGGGAGCACGGACGAAACCAAAGTCGATGTGATTAATGCCTCCAAGTCCAGATCCCTATAACCAAAGCGGGGCATCCGGGTGAGCAACCAACCTAGCACACTGCAGCAATCAATATCTAGCATGCAACGCTGAAGCCGCCTGTACCCAAACATCAATATCATAAGACTGGGTGAACTGGAGTATGAGCAAGGAACAAGACTCACAAAACCCAGGGTCAAAGGTGTTACTGACCCAACAGGCAGCATGACGGAAGCAAAAACTGGCGAGTGTCACTCTGAGACAAGAGGACAGAGCAACTATCAAACTGGCACTCAGTGAGTTGGAACCCAGAAAATGCATCCATTGGTCCAAAGAGCTCAATGGGACTTAACAGGGCTTTTAGGGTGACTGCTAAGGGAAGCCCAGGCAAGGAATTGCTAACCGGTTAGGCCCAAACTACCAAGAGAACTGCTAAAAACTGAACCCTTGCGGTGTGTACAAGCATGGGGGGCCTAGCGGAACACCACCAATACAACAATAAGTGGATACAAACAAGGGGCAGACCCACACTAGGTAAAACAAACAAAAAGAAAAAGAAAACCCCGTGGTTGCCATCAAACATCCCCAGGAAGAAACAGAACCGGCCACTGTGTATAATGGGAGACAAGCTGAACAATACCTTGCGCCCCTACCAGCAACAATACCGCTCCCTATCCCAAGTTCACACGGGCTAAAACTACCCGAGCTGACCCCACCAAGGGAAGGCAATTGCCAAGCAGCAAAGGGTCTACAGAAGCAATTCCTGAACGTCTTGTGGAAGATAACCCCAAGACGCAAGGACAGTACTTACAGGGTGCTTAGGGAAGTCGGCCTTAAGTGCAGGCAGCCCCAGTACTGATGAAGTACTCCTGGCCAGCACACCACACACAGCAGAAATACACCACAAGCCACAGAACTGCAAGGAGTCAGAGGCCAGAGTCGGCGACCACCACAGTCGACATCAGCCGAGGAACTAATAGCTGGAGTGGTTGGTGCAGAGGGTCCGCCCACCCCTCCCGGGATCGGGTGGGTAGGGGGGGGCAGGCTTGGGTGGATGATCGGCGTGACGGCATTAGTGACATTTGCTTGTCTGCTTGTATTAGTTTGGGAGTTCTGCCTCCCTGTTTGGTTTTTAGGTAGCACTTTTACAATTATTTTGTTACTCCTACCTTTCTGGGAGCCAAACCCAAGTCGACGACAGACATGGAATGCTTCCAAACACATGGGGGATTCTATAGGGCCATTGCTAATTGTGCCTCTCTAAGGGGGGCCATGTTGTTTTTCATGGTCCCCGGCAGGCAAGAGCTCCAATTGACTGATGACACAGTCTAATACATTTATATCAGCCCAGTAAGCTCCGGGGAACTGTAGGGGCTCCCCACAGAAAACCCAGAAAAAAAAAAAATGACATTCTAATAATTGTGATCAATTATATTCCCTGCAACTGCCTCCACTGCCAGGGCAGCTGGAGAATGTCTACTCACTCAGCGCCCATAAATTGCTCAACTTCTCAGCTCCATGGCTAAAATATGTCACATACAATATTTATTTTAGTTTCCCATAATCAGAGACCACATTTTAACTATATAAGAAGAGAAAATAATATGTTGGAAATAATTTTTTTGCAGTGCACCACGTGTCATATTATAATGCGGCACACTTTAGAGGTTAAAGATCAATGATCCATATATCACATGTCACTGTTACCCCGCTGAATTTTGAAGAAGCCATAGACAGCATGCCCATGCACTCTGCATCAGGTCCAGACTCTTAGAATTCTATATTCATCAAGAAGTGCAAAACACCATTGGCCATAGACATCTTTTGGAGACAGAACCTAGATACTGGCATTATCCCTGACCATGGGTTCAGTTCATGGGTTCCCATGGGAACCACATGGTTTCAGAGAAAGGCACTCAAGTAATGGAAGCTGGGACACCATGGTGAGGTTCTCCCAGAAGACAACTGTTGCTAACACTGCCATCAGGTTAAGTAATGGAAGCTGGGGCACCATGGTGAGGTTCCCCCAGTAGACAATGGTGCTCACACAACTATCAGGTTAAGTAACAGTAGCTGGGGCACCATGGTGAGGTTCCCCCAGTAGACAATGGTGCTCACACAACTATCAGGTCAAGTAACAGTAGCTGGGGCACCATGGTGAGGTTCCCCCAGTAGACAATGGTGCTCACACAACTATCAGGTCAAGTAACAGTAGCTGGGGCACCATGGTGAGGTTCCCCCAGTAGACAACTGGTGCTCACACAACTATCAGGTCAAGCTGGGACACTATTCTTTAACTGGAGAAAATACTGGCTGTATGATTAACCAATGCAACCCTTTCATTTTGTTCATGGAAAGGCCAATAATAAGTTTGGAAATTTGGGAAAATTGGAATATAAATAGAATAAATTTCATAATCATTTTCAAACATTAAAATTTTTATATTGATAAATTTTAAACTATTTTTGTTACCTCTAATATAAATAATGCTATGAAATAGAGAAGTGATTATTAGACTCACCCGATCTTGGTTCCCATGACCACTTGTTGACCCTGCTGGTTCTTGGGGTAGAATGCGGCATATGACGGTCTACTATAACTGATGTTAGCTTGTTTTTCCAGTTCATAAGATCTTTTAGCTAGCCGTTTTTCTGCACGCGACAGCTTTTTGTCTTTTCGATCTACAAGCAAACTTTCATGTTTAAATGGAGCTTTAGTGAAGAGAGAGCCATGTTTATGCACTACCTCCTGTAAAATTTCATCCCTGTATTTATCAGCCTTTTCAGTCATGTCAACAGGTTCAGGATCACTTTCATTTTCAACGAGAAGGTTGCTGATTTCTTTGGATGACAAATGGGCATCGGGATTCATTTCATCGACAATACGGTCCGCAATGCCTTGTTTATTTACTTGTCTGTCATATATACGTTTTTCTAGAGAATTGTCTGTTACAAGGCGGTAAATATGGCACTCCTTTTTCTGTCCATACCGATAGACTCGACACACGGCTTGAGTGTCATGGCAGGGATTGAACGAGGCATCAAACACGACCACTCTATTGGCACCCACTAAATTAATGCCCAAACTCCCCGCTCTTGTAGACACTAAAAACAATCTTATATTAGGATTCATATTGAACTCATTAATTAGTTTTTCTCTATCCTGGGCTGAGGTGCTGCCATCTAGTCGAAAATACGACCGATTTCTAAGCCAACCCTCGTAGGTACCAGGTATGTAAGACCTCTGTAGGAACTCTTCCAGGAGGGTAAGGGTGAACAGAGACTGAGAAAACACGAGGAGGCGGTCCCCTAGTCTCACGCACCCCTCCAAGATCTGGAAGAACACTTGGAACTTTGCTGAGTTGCTCAGCGAGCCTGGCATGTAGTCCTTAAACAAACCCTCCGTCCAGTCTAGGGTCATCTCGTCTTTCTTTGGGTCTTCTTTTTTCTCGTCCTTTTTGTCTTCCGAATTTTCTTCTTCCTCTTCCTTGGTATCATCTTTTTTAACAGATTGTGCATCAGTTTCTTCACTTTGTTCTTTGGTTTTTTCCTCTGTTGATGGCGTGGGTGTTGTTGGTGCGGCGGGTGTGGCTGGTGTGGCAGGTGTTGCAGGGGTAGCGGGTGTGGCAGGGGTGGCTGGGCTGGGTTCACCTGTATTCCCATGGCTGTTTGTCCCATTCGGGTACACAGGCTGACTTGCAAGGGGATTATTATTGGAGTGATTGAGAGGTTGTCCCGTTGGAGTGGTGACCCCCAGCGGCTGCCCCGGAGAATTAGACAGTCCCATGAGTCCTCTTGAAGAGTTGGACACACCCAATGACTGATCCGATGAATTGGGCACAGACATCGACTGTCCCGATGGGTTGTGAATTGACATTGATTGTTCTGAAGGATCAGAAACTCCCATTGACTGTTCGGAAGGATTTTGAAGTCCCATTGACTGCCCAGAATGGTTAACTAAACTCATAGGCTGCCCTGAGGAATTATTAACTCTCATAGCCTGATCAGAGTTGGATAAGCCCATTGACTGTCCCCCAGGGTTGGATAACCCCATCGACTGTACTGACGAGTTAGAAATTCCTAAAGATTGCCCAGAATGGTCGGGCAATCCTAAAGACTGCCCAGAATGATTATGAATCCCCATAGACTGTCCAGACGAGTTTGATAGACCCATGGACTGTCGAGAAGGGCTAGAAAGTCCCATTGATTGGTTAGAAGGATTAGGAAGACCCATGCCCATTGGTGAGTTGTGCATGTTGGGAGAAGTAGAGGGATAACCAGGCAGTGATTGACTGACTGGAGTATTGTGTTGGGGGTACTGCGGGACGTAAGGGTTATTGTACGGAGGGTAGGATCTGGGATCATTAGCACCATAGCCCTGGTTATACCATGGATAAGGCATCTGCATCCCATACCCCTGGTGTATATTATGTGCACTCATGCCATAGTTGGCCAGGCCACCCTGGTTATCTCGGAGCTGGCCCATCCCATGATGCATTATTGGGGGCCCCATTGGGTCCTGGAAACCCATATTGGGTTGTTGAAGGCTCATTGTACTTTGGTGATTCATGTTCATCTGCCCCATGCCCGACTGAGACACCATACCCCCTTGATGGCCCATGCCCAGCCCCCCACTCCCAAGCTGCTGGGGTAAACCTCTGTTCATCTGTGCTGGTGAAGCCCAGCTGGGCATTGGGTGTGACGGAACGTTGAGTAAAGATTGGTTCGGCGTACATATTGAAGACGCTCTCCGGGATTTGGTTTTCCCATCTACTTCATCCAAGTCCAAATCAAAATCTTCATTGATTTTCTTCTGAACAAAGTTATACAACACATCTGGGTGGTTCCATATCTGAAAAATAAAAATTTTGTCATAAACATCAAACACTACTTCAATAGCCTTGCAAACACAACTCCAAGTTCTAAATGCCAATTTCCAATTACTCTACACAATTCATAATGGAAAACTATAAGAGGCATGATGATCAGATGCTTGCTTGCTTGTACTGTACCCTGGGGCACATCATGCCTACATGCACTAACATCAGCTGCTTGTTTGTACCGTACCCTGGGGCAAATCATGCCTACACACATTAACATCAGCTGTTTGCTTGTACTGTACCCTGGGAGGGCGGGGCACATCAAGCCTTCACGCACTAACATCAGCTGTTTGCTTGTACAGTACCCTGGGGAGGCACATCATGCTTACATGCACTAACATCAGCTGTTTGCTTGCACAGTACCCTGGGGAGGCACATCACGCTACACGCATTAACATCAGCTGCTTACTTGTACAGTACTCTGGGGCACATCTCACTACACGAACTAACAACAGCTGTTTGCTTGTACAGGTTTCCAGAAAACATCACGACTACATCTTGAGGTTATCTTGAGATGATTTCGGGGCTTTAGTGTCCCCGCGGCCCGGTCCTCAACCAGGCCTCCACCCCCAGGAAGCAGCCCGTGACAGCTGACTAACACCCAGGTACCTATTTTACTGCTAGATAACAGGGGCATAGGGTGAAAGAAACTTTCAAAAAAGAAAAAGAAAGGCCCCAAAGCCCAGACAGGGTCAAATGGGGCCCAAGAGCCTCAAGGCCACTCCCCCCGACACAGGCCCTTGGGAAGAACCAACATCCACGCTCACTGTACCTAAAGAAAAGGTGGAGTCCAAGGAAGAGGCCTGAAAGGTGGTGGTTCTGCCGGGAAGACCCAAAAGCTTTGGTGGGACAATCGGGCTTAACCACCTCCATAACTCCACCGGATGGGGTAGTCCCCCAAAGCTGCCCAAGTCACGTCCTGAGCAAAACCCCGCCCCGACTCTGAAACCCTCAGATGTTTGGAAGCCGGGAACAGTGGTAGGGAGGAGCAGGAAAGCAGTCTGTGTCTGCCATCTACCAGGTCAGACACCAAGAAAGGTAGGAATCCCAAAACAAACTACAGCTGGTTCAACATTGAAAACTGAAAGCCAAACAAGCAAGCAGAACTCCCCAATCAGAAAACAAGCAAACAAGCATGACGTCACAACAGCCGTCGCATCGCAGTCTGTGCAATTTCCCCATCCATGGGAGGGGGAAGGGGGGTCCAAGACCTCCCCCTTTGGCAGCAGCCAGCGCCGCAAACTTATGAACGTTGTGAGCACAGGGATACACCGCAGGCTGGCTGGACCAAATAACCCTGCTTGATACTTGATTGATGAGGTTCTGGGAATTCTCCTACTTCCCAAGCCCAGCCCGATGCCAGGCTCGACTTTTGAGAGTTTGGTCCACTAGGCTGTTTCTTGGAATGGCCCTCAGGCCCACATATCCACCACAGCCCAGTTAGTCCAGCACTACTTAGAGAAAATGACCTAGTTTTCTCTTGAAGATGTCCATAGTTGTTCCGGCAGCATTTCTTATGCTCGCTGGGAGGATGTTGACCCTCACCACAAAGAGTAGCGCAACATATCTCACTTCACCACAAAATAAGAGCAACGTGTCTCACCTCACCACATAAAGAGCAGAGCAACATATCTCACCTCACCAGAATGAGTAGAGCAACATATCTCACCTCACCACATAAAGAACAGAGCAACATAACTAACCTTGCAACATATTGCAAATGCTTTGAGAGGATTAGCCATGGCCTTGGTGGCGGCCAATTCCGACATGAAGGTGGCATAAAGTTTCCGCTGGATTTCTGTCATTCTGCACAACAAGACATGTTCTTCCTTCTCCGGCAGTGTGGTCGCCAGAACCGTGTGGCCTCGTCTGAAACACACAGTCATCATCATCATCAGCACAAAATACTGTAGTCAAAGTACAAAATACAGTAGTCATTATCAGTTCAAAGCACAGTAGTCATAATACAAAATACAGTAGTCATTATCAGTACAAAATACACTTTGTACTCCACTTGTGACATTTCTCCATTCCGATACATTGCCTCTGATCACTGCCCTCATTTTTCTATCAGTCAGAAAATTTTTCATCCATGTTAGAAGCTTACCTGTTACCCCTTCAATATTTTCCAGTTTCCAGAACAACCTCTTATGGGGAACTCTGTTGAAAGCCTTTTTTAGGTCTGATGCAGATAGATGCAGTCAACCCAACCATCTCTTTCCTATAATATCTCTGTTGCTCGATCATAGAAACTGAGTAAATTCGATACACAGGCTCTTCCAGATCGAAAACCATACTGTCTGTCTGATATTATGTCATTTCTCTCCAGGTGTTCTACCCATTTAGTTTTAATTATTTTTTCCAATATTTTGACTATTACACTTGTCAATGATATCGGTCTATAATTAAGGGGGTCTTCCCTGCTTCCACTTTTGTAGATTGGAACTATGTTAGCCTTTTTCCACACATCAGCTACAACTCCTGTAAACAGGGATGCCTGAAAAATCAGTTGAAGTGGAATGCTGAGCTCAGGTGCACATTCTCTCAGAATTTAGGAGAGAATGTGTAGGAGAGAATGAGAAAAACGGAAAAACACAAGAAATAGGCCCGCAGAACTTCCATACACATGACTGATGACAAAGTCTGACATTAGCATATTAGCCTGGATAGCTCCAGGGAGCCAACGGGGCTTCCCCCAGAAATTAACACTATTGGTCACCGGACAGGCGCGCGGTCAACTTAGGGGTCATGCACCCGACGTGCGGGCGAGTGTGCAGGTAAGCGCGCGGTGGCACCTAAACGTGTATACTCGTTTCAGCTTTCTCACCTTAATTCTCGTGCTACGTCGCTCGTTTTGATATCATTGTGTTCGCAATTAAATTCCCTACAGATGTGTATGAATATAATGTACAAAAGTTTGGAGTGCCTCCCCGCAGAAAAGCCTAAAGTTACCCGTGAACGAGCACCAATTTGTACACTGCAACCTAATGTGTATACTCGTTCAGTTTAATAACATCAATTTTCGTGTTATGTCTTTGATTTTGGTATCAAATTGTTCGCAATAAAAAGTCGCGTATTTTAAAACTAGTCCCATAATAATAGAGCAATAACTGGAATTTTAAAAAATATTTTAATTCTGGAAGCTCATCATTACAAAATTATTTATATCTTTCCAGTGTTCTGACAAATTTTTGTGTTACATCTTTCATTTTGGTATCAAATTGTTCGCGACATAAAGGCGCGCATTTTAAAACTAGTCTGCTTTCAACTACATAGGGGTGTGTATAGGCCATTGCTCCTCGTGCCTCTCTGAGGGGTTCTCTCTGAGAGCCAGGCTCTGGCTTGTGGTCCCCAGTAGGATACTATGAACTACACTGATTGACTTTTGCTACGGTCTAATATATAAACACACATCAGCCCGGTATAGCTCCGGGGAGCAGGAGGGGCTCTCCACAGAAAAAAACTAGCCCAGAAGGAACAAGGCCGAACCAGGGGCAAACAGCCCCAGAACTACTAGCGGACTGCCCCCAAAGCCTGTGGCTGAGTGGACAGTGCTTAGGACTTGTAATCCTAGGTTCTGGTTTTGATCCCCAGCGATGGTGGAAAACAAATGGGCAGTTTCTTTCATCCTGATGTTCCTGTTATCTACCAGTAAACAGGTACCTGGTAGTTTGACAGCTGTTACGGGCTGCTTCATAGGATGGGGGGGGGGATGATCATTGATTAACTAACAGTTGAGAGGTGGGCCGAAAGAGCAGAACTCGACCCCTACAAGCACAACTAGGTGAATAAAGCCCCGGGAACCCACAACAGTCCCCCCGGGGCAGAGCCGTTCTCCATGCCTACAACCCTAGAAGAAAGAGTCCATGGGAAAGGCAACAAGAATGGGGGCCTGCTGGTAAGTCCCAGAAGCCTCGGCTGGAGGAGCAGGCTCAAAGGCCTCCGTCTCTGCAACAAATGGGGCAACCCATGAAGGTGCCAGAGTCTCATCCTCGACTAAACCTCGCTCCGACTCCAAAACCCTCAGATGTTAGGGAGCCGGCAGCAGAGGGAGAGGGGGAGGGGAAGGAGGAGCTGAGGAACCACAACAGCAGGGGTAGGACCCAGGGGCACAGACGTAACCAAGGTCAAAGCGACCAACACCCGAAGTCCGACCTAATTAAAAATGGGGCATCCCCGGGACATCTGAGCAGTCAACAAAACTAGCGCGTTGCAGCAACATAAACAAGGCATGCAATGCGGATGCCGCCTGAACCCATCCTGGTTGATCAGTCCAGCAACCAGGAGGCCTGGTAGACGACCGGGCCGCGGGGACACTAAGCCCCGGAAGCACCTCAAGGTAACCTCAAGGAGGTTACCTTGAGGTGATTCCCAAACCACAGTGACAATAGAATGAGTAAACTGGAGCACAAACAGACAACACGTCTTGCAAGACTCCAGGTCAAAGACTCTGGTGACATGACGGAGGCAAAACAGATGACTGTCACCCTGAGACAAGGGTGGCAGTAGCTTATGCAAATTCTACCATGGCCACATAGTAAGCTTATGCAACTCCTACCATTGTCATATGGTAAGCTTACACAACAACTACCACTGTCATATGGTAAGCGTATGCAACTCATACCTTTGTCATATGGTATGCTTATACAACTCCTACCATCATCATACAATGTCTAAAGATCAGGAGCTGAAGGGTGCTGTCTATGAAGCACACTTTGGACTCCAATGACTGCTTCAATACATAAATGAGCTATTGTATTGATACAAACAAAAAAACAAATATTGTGAAATGATGTCCGAAGTTGTCCAGTGTATGGACAACTGAAGATGAAGAGAGCAACGGAAGGGTCATTACAAGAAGCATAGTGTCCGCACACAGACCTCTGGACGAAGCCTTCCAGCAGGGAGTGAAGTACGTGAGCTCGGTATCTCATCAGCTTCATGTCTTGAGGCGTAGAGTCCACGCACTGCCCATTCTGAATCGGCCGCTCAAACATATTGCTAAATTCCGTCTTTGTACCTGAAAACAATAAGCTTCATAAATCCACTGGAAATCTAGATGCTGTAAGAAACTAAATTATCTTGCCTGCTGTTACTATGTACATTAAAGCACCTTTAATGCTCATACTACATACATTAGAGGGTAGTCTATCTTTAACATTAGAACATAAGAATATAAGAATAAAGGTAACTGCAAAAGGCCTATTGGCCAATATGCCGTAAATACGGTAAAAATTAATCACACCCAGGAATTCTTGAAGCTCCTTAATTGTGGTGGGTGTCAGAAAATCTCAGATAGCCTCGTTCTTCTCCAGTGGCAGAAAACCTATTGAGGACACTCGGTGTGCCAAAAAGTTGAGCTCCGGCACCTCGAAAATACCTTCTTCTAGATTAATTTGCAGACCATAGTCGTGGAGGCGAGCAAAAACTATACGAAGATGCTTCCGATAGTCAGCCAGAGAGTGACTTGCTAATAGGTCATCAACATAGGCATAACAGAAGGGTAGATCTCTGACGACCTGATCAATGAAGCGTTGGAATATCTGAGCTGCATTACGGAGACCAAACAGCATCCTAATAAATTCAAACAAGCCAAAAGATGTTGTAATTGCATTTTTTGGTATGTCTGCTGGCTCCACTGAGATTTGGTGAGATGCTCGCATTAAATCTACTTTCGAGAATGTTGTTGCCCCATGCAGCATGTTAGGGAATTCCTGAATGTGTGGGATTGGGTAATAGGTCTGGCAGGGTGTGAACATTCGGTGCTCTGTAGCCCCCACAGGGATGCCAGTCTCCTGCAGTTGTCTTGGGAACCATATGCAGTGCTGATGCCCAGGCACTGTCAGAGCACTGTACAATCCCAGCAGCTAACAGGTCGTCAAATTCATCTTTGACCACCTGGACATGCTTAGGCGGCAGCCGGCGTGGTTGCACGTAGGTTGGTGGGCCTGAAGTACGAATATGATGGGTGACTGTGGTCTTAACCTTGGGATTTGGTGGCTGTGGCTTGGTGATTTCTTTAAATTCCTTCAGAAGGTTCTGCAGGTCAGAAGAGTTATGCAGGGCAAGGCTAATGAGTAGCCGTTGCTCTGTATTCACCCACTGGAGCCCACCACACGTCACATTCACAAAGAGGTTGCGATAGCAACAGAAATCACACCCCACTTTAGGCATATTAACTTCAGCAACGCAGAACATCCATGTGAAGCAACTAAGGTCAGCAAAATCAAGAGTGACCACACTATCGCCTTAGGTAGGTACGACACTACTATCTAAAAACTAATTATGTACGAATTCATGACTACTGACAATCGTCACAATAGGTACTATCTAAACAGGAGGATGGGTTGGAAATTAATAATTAAATAAAAGTATTACCACAAAATAGAACCCAGAACAATGGGTATAAATAGGATAAGTTTAGATTTAAGAAAGACCTGGGTAACAGGGTTCTTGATTTGTGAAACCAATTACTATATACATAATAGTAGTAGGATCCCTTGATTGTTTCAAGCATAGGTTAGACATATATGAATGAGATTGGTTGGATATAAATAGGAGCTGCCTCATATGGGCCAATAGGACTTCTGCATTTACCTTTATTCTTATATTCTTATGTATTCCCTCTAATTCAGAGATCTCTACTGCTCTGAAAGGGAAAGCAAGTACCGAGGAGTACTCAACACAGGACAGCACCAGTGATTTAAATAGTACTAGCATTGCTGTGGGGTCTGTAGATTTGCACATTCTTATAAACCATCCTATCATTTTCCTGGCTGATGCCATATTTACTCGGTTGTGTTCAATAAATGTCAGATCGTTAGACATCATAGAATCATGATGCTTCCTATCTTATACCTAATATAGTAGATACATGTGCTATCCTAGGCCTAGGAATAGTTAAGTTTGGTTTTTGGCTTTAATTTTTCAAGACTATAAATTTTACAGTACACACAGTGGTTTACTACTGTACAATAACTGTAAGATTCAATATATTTGGTCTCTTCACCAAATAACTGTGGTCAAGAGACCATGCAGGCTCAGATGGCATATTAGCAGGTCAGAGGTGATAAAATGCACACGCTACTATCAGAGTACACCCAAGGATGGAGCAGTTGGCTGACCACAGACTGCTGCTCTCCCTCCCTTTCCCTAAAGAAGAGGGCAAGGGGGGTGAATGAACTGGTGCCAGTTTCATGAGTTTTCAATCATTTTTTACATAGGGAAGTTCTTTAGGGAGCTCTCAAGGCTTCTGTCTTGCTTGAAACCAGCAGTGGTTTGTTTTGTTACTCAAAATTTCTGGGTGCCTTTGTCAGTGGGTGGCATAAATTAACAACTTAATACTGCACATAACCACCGCTACTCCCTGCACCCGTGTGAAGGGACCAGGTGCTGGCGCTGGTCTGAGGAAAGCCAATAGAACTCTGTGACTGATAGTAACTAGTAGTATCACCCACTAGATAGTAGCCTCAGGAAGCCACAAGGGACTCTCCCCAGTAAAGTCGATCAATTACCAATACCTCGGAAACTTGACTACTTCAAACTAGTGATCAATCACAGATACTTGGAAAATTTGACTACCTGAAACTTGTTTTCAAAAAGGTTCTCACCAAGATAATTGGGTCTCACGAAGTCCACCATACACCAGTACTCCAAGAGGTTATTTTGAAGTGGGTAACCCGTGAGTACAACACGTCGTCTAGTACGGATGTTCTTCAGTGCTTGTGATATGTTAGCATGGGCGTTCTTGATGCGGTGTCCTTCATCACAGATCACTAGGTCAGGACCTGGCTTCACCAGTGCCTTCTGGATCTCTGTAAGACAACTTCATATTAATATATACAGTATATATTATTACTTAAATGTAGTTACAGTGTGAGAGCTACGCTCATGGTGTCCTGTCTTCCCAGTACTCTGTCACATAACGCTTTGAAACTTGACAGTTTTGGCCTCCACCACTTTCTCACCTACCTTGTTCCAACCGTCTACCACTCTGTTTGTGCCAGTGAACTCTATTTTGGAAGCTTTGTTTCCTAAGCTTAAATCTATGACCTCTTGTTCTAGAACTTTCCAATTTCAAGAATTCTTCTTAATTAATCAATGTGTCGATTCCCGTTACTGATTTTAATGTAGTGATTATATCGTCTCTTTTCTTCCATCATCTAGTTTTGGTATATTTAATGTCTTTTAGCCTCCTCGTAGCTCTTGTTTTATAGTACTGGAAGTCATTTTGTTGAATGTCCTTCCACCTTTTCCAGTCTGCTGATGCACTTCTTGAGATGTGGGCACCATACAACTGCTGCATATTCCAATTTGGCTTTCACAAAGTATACTCGCCTAGTTGTGCTTGCGGAGATTGAGCTCTGGCTCTTTGGTCCCAACTCTCAACTGTCAATCAACTGATGTACAGGTTCCTGAGCCTACTGAGCTCTATCAGATCTACATTTGAAACTGTGTATGGAGTCAGCCTCCATCACATCACTCCTTATTCATTCCATCTGTTAACTACTCTAACACTGAAAAAGTTTTTTTCCAACATCCTGTGGCTTATTTGGGTATTCAGTTTCCACCTGTGTTCCCTTGTTTGCATACCACCTGTGATAAACAGTTTATCCTTATCAACCCTGTCAATTCCTGAGAATTTTGTAGGTAGTGATCATGTTTCCACTTACTCTTCTGTCTTCCGTGTTGTGAGGTGCATCTCATACAGCCTTTTCTTGTAACTCATGCCTCTTAGTTCTAGGACTAGCCTAGTGGCATACCAATGAACTTTTTTCCAGCTTCGTCTTGTGCTTGACAAAGTACTGGCTCCATGCTGGGGCCACATACTCCAGGATTGATCTTACATATGTGGTATACAAGGTACTGAATAATTCCTTACGGTAGTTCTGATGCTAGCCAGCCTTGCATACGCCGCAGATGTAATTTTTTTTTGAGGGCTTCAGGAGACAGGTTTGGTGTGATATCAACTCCTAGATCTTTCTCTCTATCCATTTCATTAAGGACTTCATCTTCCATTCGGTATCCTGTGTCTGGCCTCCTGTTTCCACCGCCTAGCTTCATTACCTTACATTTACTCGGGTTGAACTTTAATAGCCATTTGTTGGACCATTCATTCAGTTTGTCTAAGTCATCTCCCAGTACTATCTTCCTGTCTTAATCCTCCTCATAATTTTTGCATTGTTAGTAAACAATGAGAGGAACAATTCTATACCCTCTTGGAGATCATTTACATATATCAGAAACAGTATAGGTCCAAGGACTGAACCCTGCGGGACTCCACTGGTGATAATGCGCCATTCTGAAACCTCACCCCTCACCGTGACTTGCTGTCTTCTGTTGCTTAGGTACTCCCTTATCCATTGGAGTACTTTCCCTTTCACTCCTGCCTGCATATCCAGCTTTTGCACTAGCCTCTTGTATGGAACTGTGTCAAATTCTTTGTCAATCCAAAAATATGCAGTCTGCCCACCCCTCTCTTGATTGATTGATTTTTGTTGCCTGGTCGTAGAATTCAATTGAGCCTGTGAGGCAGTACTTGCCAGCTCTGAACCCATGCTGATGCTGTGTTACAAAGTTCTATCGCTCCAGATGTTCCACTAGCTTTTTTCACACAATTTTCTCCATCAGCTTGCATGGTATGCAAGTTAGGGACACAGGCCTGTAGTTCAATGCCTTTTGTCTATCCCCCTTCTTGTATATCGTAACTACATTAGCCTTCTTCCAAATTTTTGCCAGTTCCCCTGTTACCAGTGATTTGTTATACGCTATGGAGAGTGGCAGGCACAGTGCTTCTGCTCCTTCCTTTAGTATCCAAGGGGAGATTCCATCTGGGCCTATAGCCTTTGCCACATCCAACTCTAGAAAAAGCTTCCTTACATCCCCACTGGTAATCCCAAACTCTTCTAGTGGTGCCTGGGTTAACTATTCCATTTCTTATCTCCGGAACTTGTCCGTGCTCTAATGTGAAGACCTGGAATTTCTTATTCAGTTCCTTGCACACTTATTTGTTGTTTGTAGTGAATCTGTCTGCCCCCATCCTCAGTTTCATTACCTGTTCCTTCACTATTTTTTTCTCCTGATATAGCTGTGCAGCAATTTATGTTGAGTCTTTGCCTTGCTTGCTATGTTATTTTTTTTTATTGTCCTTCTACCTCTCTTCTCATCCTGATGTGTTCAATCCTGGCACTCTGGTAACTGTCTCTGTTCTCAACTGTCATATTATTTTTATAGTTTCTCCATGCCCTTGTACTTTGTTGCTTTGCTATTGTAATTACCTAAGTGCAGTTAGAGGATGAGAGCTATGCTCGTGGTGTCCCGTCTTCCCAGCACTCTGCCATATAACACTTTGAAGCATTCAAAACATTCATTCATTCTTTCAAGCATTCACACTTCACTTATAGTGAAGTGTGAAAGTTGTTTAGAGCCACTATGAGGAATGCAATTGTATGAGCTGTGGGGAGCCATTGTGGGGGTTGTCAGCTGTGTGGGGTTGCCAGCTGTGAGGAGCCACTGTGGGGGGTTGCCAGCTGTGAGGAGCCACTGTGGGGGGTTGCCAGCTGTGAGGAGCCACTGTGGGGGGTTGCCAGATGTGGGGAGCCACTGTGAAGGTGCACTTTTTTTTTGGCAGGGATATTTCTGCACGGGCCCTAAGCCTCTGGCTGGCCCATTAAGTGTTGCTTGTTTTGTTTTACTTAGGCGGTGAGTATGACTACGTATGGTCGCTTCAATAAGATTTTGCCCCATGTGTTTAACAACTTCTTCTGCTCTGTTGAATCTAAGTTGAAATCTTATTTGGTTTGTAACTGTGCACTGTGTTAGATAATGTTCCGGTGGTCTGTCGGGCATTTCTCCACAGTGCTGACATTTCCTCTCATCTTCCGGAACCTGCAAGCCTATTTCCCATGCACATGGGCATCCAAGCCTGATGCGATGTAAATGTACTACTGTTGTTCTATTGCTCCCTTTCATCAAAATAAGTGGTTCGTAGTTGGTTGCATTCTTGTCCCAACTTACAGATTCTGATGTTGCAACTACTGTGTTGTGGTGACTGTACATCTTCTGCATTGCTCTGTTTCTAATTACCTTCTTAATCTGTGATAGACTCTGTGGTATGTAAATGTTACATTTCTTCTCTTAGTTGCAAGTTTCATCTTGCAACTAAGAGTTGCATGACGAAGCAACTTAGTTGCTTCGTCTGCAATGTCATTTCCTATTATTCCCACATGACTTGGCACCCAGTTGAGAAGTACCCGATGGTCTTGACGTTTGAGAGTTTGCATTAATCATATGACATTTGTTATCAGACGGATGTTGTCACATATGTGTTCTTGTTGCAAGGTTTCAATGGCAGTTCTCGAATCTGTATGGATAATAACATGTTAACATGTTCAGCAAGAGCATGTTCCGAAGCTTTTTGAATGGTTAGCATCTCTGTTAAGTTGAAGGTGCTAACAGTGGAGAAAGCCACAGTAGGGGCCACAGTAGGAGCATACCTGGAGAGGAGTCTGAGGGTTCTACTCCCTGAGCCCGGCCTAAGGCCAGGCTTGTAATAACTTAGTCCAACAGGCTGTTACTTGGAGCAGCCCACAGGCCAACATATTCATTACAGCCTGGTTGCTCCGACACTTCTTGCAAGAACTTATCGAAGTGCTTCTTGAAGACCTCCACCTTTGTTCCAGCAATAGACACAATAGGGTCCACAGTATGGGTCACAGTAGGATCCCCAGAAAGGGCTACAGTAGGGGTCACAGGAGCCACACTAGGGGGCCACAGTAGGCCAAAGGTCTCGTACACTTTTGAGGTCAGTTTAATGGTCCACTTACACAGAAAAATTACTGCATTAAGACATTTTAAAAACAATTTTAGTTGTGATAATGCAGTGTGGGGGGGGGAGGGGGTTGGCCTCCCCTGTAGTTCCATCCTCCTGACATAACTATACCTATTGTATACCACCTTCCACACTTCCAAGACACCTTCCACACTTCCAAGACACCTTCCACACTTCCAAGACACCTTCCACACTTCCAAGACACCTTCCACACTTCCAAGACACCTTCCACACTTCCAAGACACCTTCCACACTTCCAAGACACCTTCCACACTTCCAAGACACCTTCCACACTTCCAAGACACCTTCCACACTTCCAAGACACCTTCCACACTTCCAAGACACCTTCCACACTTCCAAGACACCTTCCACACTTCCAAGACACCTTCCACACTTCCAAGACACCTTCCACACTTCCAAGACACCTTCCACACTTCCATGACACCTTCCACACTTCCATGACACCTTCCACACTTCCATGACACCTTCCACACTTCCATAACACCTTCCACACTTCCATAACACCTTCCACACTTCCATAACACCTTCCACACTTCCTAACCCATTCTAGACTTCCATAACACATTCCAGGCTGTAACTCACTTTTTAGACTTTCATAGCATCTTCCACATCCACAGCAATTTTCTGAGGTTCAAAGCACCTTCCAGTCTTTCATAACAGCTTCCAGACTTTCATAACAGCTTCAAGACTTCCATACCACCTTTCAGACTTCCATAAAATAGTCCAGATTTCCATAACACCATCCAAATTTTAATCTCACCTTTGAGAATTAGATAATACCTTTCAGACTTCTATCTCACCTTCTAAAAGTTCCTTGTTCTTGTCTTCCTCTTCAATATCTACAATTTCCTTATTATCGGCATCTTTCTTTTTCTTCTTTGGCTTCTTGGGCTTCTTGAGTGAGAGCTGTCGGTAGAGCTCGTAGCCCATGAGAAGCACACCGCCCATCTCGTGCCAGTCGTTAATCACTTTAGCTCTCTGGTTCAGGTTCTTCAACGAATCGTTCAGCAAGAAAACCTTGAACTTTCGGGTGAAGATTTCGTAGCCTTCTGGCGTGGTGGGGGGAATGGTACCTTCTTCAGGGAGCCACGCATTGTATTCAGCGTACCAGTTTTGGAGCGTGTTGATGGGAACAATGATCAAGACTGAACGTGCACTAGTGTATCTTAAGAAGATGTCCGTAAACGACACAACCTGTAGAATGTCATTAACATTATTTTGGTTACACAGAGAAATCACATTAACATGATATATCAATGAACAAATCCACAGGAGCCTTGACGAGGGCCGGAACCTATGGGTGTTCCCAGGCGTGCTCTAGTCACTCTAGTCTGGGAACACCCAGTGCATACGTTCCAACCCTCATCCACAGGAGCCTTGATGAGGGCTGGAACCTATGGGTGTTCCCAGGCATGCTTCAGTCTGGGAACACCCAGTGCATACATTCCAACCTTCATCAAGGCTCCATGTTCCATATAGATTTGTTTGCGTTCCCACTGTTTACTGTAGTTTATTGTCATTTGTATTACTGCAGTTTACAATAGTGTGTTTACTGTCCTTTACTATAGTTTGTTTACTATAGTTTATGGTCATTTGTTTCCTATAGTTTACTATCACTTGTTTTATATAGTTTACTGTCATTTGTTTACTAATGTTTACTGTTATTTATTTACTACAGTTTACTGTCACTTGTTTACCATAGTTTACTGAGTTGACAGTTATATTTATTATAGTTTACTAAAGTTTGTTAACTATGGTGTTTACTTCAGTTTACTATATTTTATTTGCTGTAGTTTACTAACTAGTTTACTATTGTTTACCATAGTTTAGTACAGTCTGCCCCAAGTTGTACCCTTGCAGGACACTACAACTATCACTAGTACAATATACACTGTAACAAAAAATTACAAAATGCTCAATTATGAATATTAAGATAATAATGGGTCCTACTAATAATTAACTCTTACAGAACTATTAGCTAGACGACTACTACTGCAATGATTACTAAAAGCCATTATTTACTCAACCATTACAACTATGGTATTCAAAATCATGAACAATGACTCATTATAGATAATTTACACAATCTATGCCAGACCAATTGAAGATTGTGCAGCACAGGGAGGGAATCCACAACTTGTGAAGTTCAAAACAAACGCCGTTGAATGTAATGAAATGCCAATTTCTGGGCGAGTCCAGGAGGCTCTCCGAAGCTGCTTTCACTGATAGTGTACCATCTACTTGATCCCATCAGCCGCGGAGTACTGAGTGTGTCCCGGAGGCTCCATGAAGCTACTATCACTGATAGTGTACCATCTACTGGATCCCATCAGCCGCGGAGTACTGGTTGAGTCCCGGAGGCTCCATGAAGCTACTATCACTGATAGTGTACCATCTACTGGATCCCATCAGCCGCGGAGTTCTATCTGGCCTACCAGGGCCCCAAGAGTCAAAACCTGGCCCCCTTACAGAGGCACAAGAAGCAGTGACATTTATATATTTATTTGTTTGTTTATGCCACCACCTGAAAGGGCGCCCAGAACGTGACCAAGACAAAACAAACCCCCACCTGGAAGGGCGCCCAGAAAGTGACCAAGACAAAACAAACCCCCACCTGGAAGGGCACCCAGAAAGTGGCCAAGACAAAACAAAACCCCCACCTGGAAGGGCGCCCAGAAAGTGGCCAAGACAAAACAAACCCCCACCTGGAAGGGCGCCCAGAAAGTGGCCAAGACAAAACAAAACCCCCACCTGGAAGGGCGCCCAGAAAGTGGCCAAGACAAAACAAACCCCCACCTGGAAGGGCGCCCAGAAAGTGGCCAAGACAAAACAAACCCCCACCTGGAAGGGCACCCAGAAAGTGACTGAGACAAGAACAACATTATGAGATCATTATTAGATTTTTCCCTTTTGTACAACAAAATTCTTAATAATATCAGAGGAAGAGGCAGACATTTTAGCATACCTGAAGTGTTTTACCAAGCCCCATAGAATGTGCCAGGATGCAGCCAAAGCCGTTGGATGTTTTGAACTGTTCCAGGGACTCTACAATGTTGTCGTACAGGAAGCGAATTCCTCCAGTCTGCGGGAGAAAATACATGACAATACCATGAAGAATATATTTATTGGTAATACCTAAACAACAAAATGTAATCATTTTTGTTGTTTAGGTATTACAGTATTAAGGTTTGTATACAGGTCCCTCTAAGTCAACTACTGACCTTTCCCAGGATGCAGCCCACAACTTGTCTAACTCCTTAGACTGCTAGGTGAAGAGAGGCATCAGGGTGAACATTATCCAGGATGCAACCCACAACAGTTGCCTAACTCCTGGGTACCTTTTTACTGCTAGGTAAACAAAGGCATTAAATGATGGAAATGTTCCACCTATTTCTGTCCCGCGTATCAAACCCGGGATCCTCAATGAGTCGAAAATGTAAAGCAATGTAAAGCAGAATATCACTCACCATAGATAAATTAGTCCTTAACATACCATAAACAAATATTGTTAAACAAATACATTATTCAAGGCTTTGCTAACTTGACGACTAGGAATGGTGAGCTTTAATGTGTACCTGATGTGGTTTGACGATCCTGGCCAACTGAGGTGCCAGGAATATGTCCTCCTCTCCCTCTGGATGCCCCACATTCACCAACACGCGGCCTTGTGCATCAGGAAGGTTGAAGGCATCATTGATGTGTGCGCCCGAATTGGTCGAGTCCTCCAGGTCTTCCTCCTCATCTTCAGAGTGGCTGGAGAGGATTACCACATCCGAGTCCGATTCAGACTTTTCCTCTTCGGCCGAGGATTTATCTTTCTCCTTGGTTACTTTCTCCTCTCCTTCTGGCTTTTCCTCCTCTTCTACGTCCTCCTCCTCTTCCTCCTCCTCCTCTTCCTCCTCCTTGATCTCCTCTTCTCCACTGCCTACCTCTGTCAGCTGGGTTTCAACTGGGGGATACATCTCATCTGAAAAGATTACCACATAAAAAAAATGTATCAACAGAGCATGAAGGAAGTCATGCCATTTGCCCACCAAACACTACATGCTTAATGCCACACTCACAACAACAGTAATTTATGGAAAAATTACAATAAAAGTACCATCATGCAAAGTTTTATTTTGGTTAGTAAATGAACGTACTATACTATGATCACACGAGCAAATCTATACACCATGATCCCACAAGTAAACCTATATAGAGTAATCACACAAGCAAACCTATATACCACGATTACACAAGCAAACCTACGTACCACAATCACACAAGCAAACCTACATACCACGATCACACAAGCAAACGTATGTTCTGAAATTACACAAGGAAACTTACGTTCTGTGATGTCACACACAAACCTATGTTCTGTCACAGTGCAGCCCATCCTCCTAAGGTTTCCCAATGTTAAGAAAATGGTAAATTTAAAGTGTCCTCTCCTAACCTACCAGGGGACCCAAAACAGAAAACGGGACAGTATGTCACTTTTGCGAGCCACTTCCATTTTCTAGTACGACAATTTTTGGCCTTATGTAATGCATACGAGTGAAAAAGGGACGTTCTTTGTAGGAGGACAGGTTGCACAGTCACTATGTCACTGTGGCCCTGTCACTGACCATGCCTCATGGTCGATGGTCTGGTCAACCAGCACATTAAGACACGGATGCTCCAAGTCTGCCATATAAATCACAGCCCAGTTAATCGAGTATTCCTTAAAGTTGTTTATCAATTTCTCTCTTGAACACCATGAGAGATAAACAAGTACTAAATGAACGGTGCCAGGATATATAATGGAATTGTGAGCTTGCAAACATTAAGTGACAGGAGAGAGATTGAGCACACACACACTAAGGCATTATAATTATAACAATCCATCCTCCAAACACCAAGTGCTTACACTACTTATAGTGGCTCAAAAATGGACTCTTACACCTAAAATAAAGTTTGCATTTTGTGTTATTGGAATACAAAAGGCATGCTAAAATTTGGAAGAAAGACTTAAACAACCTAACCTGTCCTAGCCCCAAATAACAAATCTTAGGGCCTATTTATATATACTGAACTAGGGCCTACATATGTGCTGTCCTAGACCCTAAATGATGCATTTATTGAATCCTCTAAAAAGTGCAACTATTTAACCCTTAGACAGTGCAGCTATTTAACACCTAAACACTAGTAATGTACAACATTATTGTACATTACTAGTAACTTGAACACTGTTTACACTGGAGCAAAATATATGAAAGGAAATATAGAATAGAAACAATGAGGATTGGAAATGCCATATGCACAATCAGAAAGCCCTGTCTTAACATCAAGGGTCAAGCAAATATTATAAATATTGCTGGAACAAAGGTGGAGGTCTTCAAGAAGCACTTAGACAAGTTCTTGCAAGAAGTTCCAGGACCAACCAGGCTGTAGTGGATATGTGGGCCTGCGGGCCACTCCAAGCAACAGCCTGTTGGACCAAGTTATCACAAGTCGAGCCTGGCCTCGGGCCGGGCTCAGGGAGTAGAAGAACTCCCGAAACACTCTCTAGGTATACACTACATAGAACTGGAACTAGAATAGTGAACGAGCAACTACGACAAAGTTTTTGTAATATTACTAGTAACTTGAACAATGTGTACTCTGCTTAGAACTGGAGCTGCAGTAGTAAACGAACAACTATGACAGCATTATTGTAGTACATACAGTACTGTATTGTACATTACTAGTAACTGGAACAATATGTATTCTACTTAGAACTGGAAATGCAGTAGAGAATGAACAACTACAACAACATTATTGCACATTATTAGTAACTTGAACAATGTGTACTCTACTTACAACAGGAAATACGGAAGCGAACGAACAACTACGACAACAAAATTGTAGTATTGTACGTTACTAGTAACTGGAACAATGTGTACTCTACTTAGAACTGGAGCAGTGATAGTGAACGAATGACTACAACAACAACATTGCACAGTGTGTACTCTAATTAGAAACAGAACTGCGGTAGTGAATGAACAACTACGACAACAACGACCGACTTACCTTGCTCCCATTTCATTCTCCAAACCTCTCCCTCTTCTGCTTCCTCATCTTCTTCCTCCTCCTCCTCTTTTTCCTTGTCACGTTTCCCATCTACACAGGGAAGAGGAAATGGCGTACAAGACACAGACAGACAGGCTGACACAAACATGATTGGTGTTTGTGACGTACATAGTCACACTCATACACGCGCACACACACATACATACAACCATGCTCAACGTATGCTACACGTACAGATGAAATTTTAGCAGTCTTCCAAAAAACACCTTCGTGTAAGCTGAGATGTTTACCTGGTCGGCTGATGGCTAACTGGGAGCCAAATCTTTGCCAAGAAGTTATTTCACTTGCTAACCACTAACGGTAGGGACAAACATAACTATAAATTGATGACTGACTACTCTAGTACCATAATGTCTCAGTCGCACAAGCTGCATAAACACATTATTTGTCTAGCCTTTGGTTTACCAGTCTACCATCATGGCTCTACTCCCAACCACTGAGTCAACAGGAAGGGGATAGAGCTTTATGGTCCAACAGGATAAAATACACTTTGCCTCATATCCCCCTCATATGGCCACAAGAGCAGCATCGCAAACCATACTCAACTGGCACATAATAGGTTGTCACACCAATCCAACAAAGGTTGGATTGGTGTTATCTTGTTATTGGAGATTGTTATATCTCCTATCACACCAATCCTACAAAGGTTGTCACACCATTTTACCTCAGTGTGTTTAATGTATCATTTACAAGAGTAGCCCTGGTGTGGTCCAGGAATAGCCCTGGAGTAGCCCTGCCATAGTCCAGAAGCAACCCAGTTCCAGGAGTAGCCCAGCCTATAGAAGTAACCCTTGAGTAGCTCTGACTTAACTGACTGGGGGTTCACACCAGCCAGTCATTGAGGTAGACCAACACAAGAACCCCTAACAAATGCAGCCGGGCGACAGCAACCCAGGCTAGCCTGGGTAACATCTATGGAGGCAGGTTCAAGCTAAAAGGGAGAACCCTTAAGCTCTAAGCACAAAGCCCCATGACAATTCCTAAGCAGTCCCTGAATCCTGCATAGAGAGGGACATGCCAATACATGTCCTTGAGGTGCAGGGACACCATCCAAGCTCCAGCCTGCAATAACGGGTGAACCTTGGCCAAAGTGGTCATGCAGAAGGTCAGGCAGGGGATGAAGTCCTTTAGACCTAAAAGATCGAGGATGTACCGTAGGGCCATTCAATCCTGCTTCGGGACACCTACCAATGGGACAAGATCAGATCGACTACACTTGAGGTCAACTAATCCACAGTGACCAGACATTGCGCAGGGAAGAACTACTAACCTAACAAACTGAACTCCAAATACAGGGGAGGGAAAGACCACCTCCACCAAAGAAAATAGAAACCCACCTTGAAATGCACACAAATCATGGGACCAGGAGTCAGTAAAACGTGCCAGATGCTCACCCCATGACAGCAACAGAGGGATGAACCATGCAAAGGCAAGCACAAGAGACAGCAGGCCTCCATGATGCATGACTCATGTTGAGCAGAGGAGGAAGCCTCCTCATGTAGTGCCTAGTAACCTGAACCACTTGAGGACCTACCTTGACCAACAACAGACACGGTCCCCACTTGATCAGACCGCCTCCAGAAGAGGACAGAAACCTTAGCAAACAACACTTGATAAATTGATGGATGGAAAAGCCACTGCCGAAAAAATCTGAGCAACCACATCCTCAGAAAAGAGAGCCAAAAATTGTGAGGCAGCCACACATGTAGGAGAACACGACCTTACATCACTGGAAGACATGATCACCACATACAAAATTCTCAGGGGAAATTAACAGGGTAGATAAGGGCAGATTATTTAACATGGGTGGTAGTCGCAGAAGAGGACACAGGTGGAAGGTGAGCACCCAAATGAGTCACAGAGACAAGAGAAAGAATTTTTTCAGTGTCAGAGTAGTTAATATATGCAACGTATTAGGAAATGATGTGGTGGAGAGAGACTCCATACACAGTTTCAAATATAGATATGATAGAGCTCAATAAGCTAAGGAATCTGTACACCAGTAGATTTGATAGTTAGGAGGTGGGACCAAAGAGCCAAAGCTCAACCCCCGCAAGCACAACTGGGCGAGTACAACTTGGCGAGTACGCTGAATATAAACAACATCCCCCGCAGACATATGGGGCAGGATAAATAAAATGCTGGCACCACCTCCCGAAGAAGAGGGGGCTAGGATCTTGAGCACGGCCACTAAGGCCTGAACCTCAAGCTTCATGGCCTTTGCACCTGGAGCAGACTTTAACGATGCCACGTCCTCCTGGAGATGCTTGGCAAATGCCCCCACAGACTGAGACATGCAAGACCACAGCCAAGTGTGAGTGCCGTGGTCATCTGCAATATGAGCCTTGGAAAGCTTAGACAACTGCACATAGTTACCACTTGCCTACATCCTGGGAAAGTACCAGGGCAATCAACCACAACTCAAGCAGAGCAAACTGAGCCCTGCTCAGAATCACCTACAAGATTAGAGCTCACCTCCTGCCAGTCAAGCATGCAGGAACAACAGAACCCCTGCCAAGACAACAAGGAAAGGAGAGGGTTGTCTGCCAGCCAGGATACGCCGAGACCTCAAACTGCAGTCAATAAGTGGAGATGGACCCAAACTTAAAAGTGACACAGTCCATTATAACCACAGAAGGCACAGCACGATAGGATGGAAACGTCTGGAAAAAGATACCTGGTTACCTGGTTGATACCTGGTTGATGGGGTTCTGGGAGTTCTTCTACTCCCCAAGCCCGGCCCGAGGCCAGGCTCGACTTGTGAGAGTTTGGTCCACCAGGCTGTTGCTTGGAGCGGCCCGCAGGCCCACATACCCACCACAGCCCGGTTGGTCCGGCACTCCTTGGAGGAATAAATCTAGTTTCCTCTTGAAAATGTCCACGGTTGTAAAATCCAAGTCACCTAACAGGACCCGAAAAGAAACCAGACGGGGAGTAGCCGAGCAATCCAATCCATACATGGAACAGGGATAAGAAGAATGATCCTCTTGCACCATGAGACCCTCCACGGAGGGAACCAAGAACCAGGTAGGGCCCAAAGGCATCCAAGAAAACTCCTTGGACTGCTCCTTAACCAACCCGTCTTGTTAAAAATAACGTCACTTTTCGCTTGTATGCGCGCTATGGCCAAAAATGGACGTAATTAGAAATGAAATCGGCTCACAAAAGTGATGTACTGTCCTGTTTTCTGTTTGAGTTGTCTGCTTACTCCGTAAGGTTAGGAGAGGAAACTTTCAGTTGACAGTTTTCATTTCATTTTGAAACTTTAGGATTGTTGTTGTTAAAGATTCGCTACCTGGAATAAAAGTTCCAAGTAGCACAGACTATGGCAACCCCGTGAACGTTAGGAGAATTTCCTACCCTCTAAACTACCAGAGGACTCTTAACTTACGGTTTTGAAAAAAAAAAAAATCCAAAATTTATTTTCAATTTTTTTTCACATTCAAATTTCTATGTCTATTTTCGGCCATACAGGCAAACGGCCAAATTCAGACATAATTTGCTACAGGACAGGTTGCCTCAACCGCAGAAGCCTGCCACTGAGTGACCCAGGGCAGAGATGAGGTTCTCGCACACCACTTGAGACAAGAAGGTGCCTTCTCAAGGAGAAGGCTCCCGCTACATGTAAGTAGCATAACTAACCTCAACAAACACCTCCAATGAATACCTGATCATCCAGGGTGTGATTCATATGTCAGGCTGCAAGCAGCCACATCCAACAGCCTGGTTGACCAGATGACCAACCTGGTTGATACCTGGTTGGTCAATAGAGTTGTCAACTAAGAGGCAAGAAAAAATTATCACTGCCAGGTAGCAGAGACGATGAACAGCCTTTAAACTTGCAAACAGCAAGTTCGGGCTCAACGAGCCATTGCATAAAAACCGCGACAGAGACCCAGCGAGGGATTCTCAGAGCCCAAAGGAAAAACCAAGTGGGTACCACCGGCACTAAAGCCATGTGCCAGAGGAACAAACACCAACTGTACTCTAACCACCAGGCTACAGCACATGATGAAGGCACTGCCGTGTAAATAGGCACACAAACCTCCAGTGCCCCATAATGACCAAAATATGCCCCCAGCAAAGGACCCAACAGAGGAAAGAAGACCCATAAACCTCCAGTGAACCCCCAATAGCCAAATAACACCCCCAACCAAGAACCCATAAAGAAAGACCCAAGAACCTCTAGTGAACACCAACAGCCAAAGAACACCTGCAACCAATGGCCCAACAGGCCAAGATAAGGTCACCACCCCGGTAGGTTGGCCTCACAGGAAGGAGGGGATGAACATCCAGAGATGATCCACGCTGATGACCCACCACAGGGAGGAACCCCAAACACACCAGAGAAGGAAAGTTGTTATATTAAAATTACCTACAGTATCATTTTCAATATAGACTGAAGCTGCAGTGTTCCAAGCTTTCAATACATAAAATAAAACCAAGCTATTAACATCTTTTCAAGTCATCAAATTGGTTGGCAAGACCAAAAACTAGAAGGCCTGGTCAGAGACTGGGCCACTGGGATGTTGATCCTCGGTTTCAACAGTTATACACTATGTATACCTGATAGTACTGGTGATGACGATATTTAGTGTGGAAAAGTAGACATCAGGACATATTGGGTAATCTAGAGGGGGGGGGGGGAAATGTTATCATAAATAAAGGTTAAGGACTTCTGCCTTAACCACTGCACTGCGCACCTGGTATCGGGAAAGACTCAGATAGTACAACTGACTCATTCTTAGTGCAATTGCTAAGGACATATTTTTGACATTTTAATAAATATTCAGGTAAAGTTAATGTCAAAATTTTTCCAAACTCAAATATTTCCATTTCAAACATACAAAGAATAATGAACACATTAAAAAACATTAAAATATAGCCTAATTAAACAAAAATAGCACAACTCGCAGAGTGCCTAAAGGTGTTTTGCACAGTGCAGTGGTTAAAGACTTCCAGCCAGGCATTCTGTACGTCATCACACAGGAGATATTAATATAAGCACCATTCTTTTAATTCCAAACTTTAATGTATAGAAAATATGGTTATTACTAGTCACACCACAGGAACACGTCCCTCAGCACTTAGCACATTCATGAAGAGTGAGCATCATCACACTGAAGAGTCACTCTGCTGCAGGCTCCAGGATCATTCAAATTATCAAAGTGTTGGGAGTAGGGTGAAGGTTGCAAGGGGAGTCCCAGAATACATGAAGGTGTAGGGAATTTGAAAATAAACTAAGAGATAAGAAATAAGTGTTAATGAATGAAAAATCTTGGCTAGAAAAGTTGATTTTTCAAAACAGCAGAATAACAATAAAGATAGCCACCACCACTACCACAGGGGAGGACAGCACAATAACAAAGGAATATTTTGCAGGTTTCTCACAGCAAGATGTAATGAAAGGTGGTTTTCTTGGCAGGTTAGTGATTATTGAGGACATGCTAAAGTATTATAAAGAAAAGATTATTAAATTAGAACAAGAATATGAAGGTCTCAAGATTGAGTTTTGTAATTTAAATGAAGTATTTTCCAGCAAGGTAAGGAAATCAACAGCTTGACTGATAAGGTAAGGATGCAGGAGGAACACATCAAAGAACTAGTGAAGGATAATTAGACATGGAAAGTGAAGAGTAGGGAATTTGAAGAAATTAACAAGAAAATTGTTAATAAATAACTCATATGGTGAACAACTCTAAGGGACCCTGAGGGCTAACAGAGTTAGACAAGGATATGCAACGAGAATCTTCACTGGCAACTCAAATAGAGGAGGTTAATAAAGAACTAGAAAAGTACAAGGTAGAAATAAAAGAGACATATGCACAAGTTGTAAAAGAGAGGGACAATTAAGGAAGTGTGTTCGGAAGTCAAAACCAGAAATGATAAACAAGAAGCTGATCTTAGGCAAGCAATTAGGAAAGAACTGGTAACCAACAGTAAACTGGTAAAAAACACTGCAGATATAAGTAAGTCCATAATAATTTTTGGATGTTTAGAGAAGGAAAGTTCATCTAGGGTGGACCGAGCGGCAGAAGAAATGAAAATTATAGAGAAAATAGTAGGTTTAGGAGAAGGCCAAAATTCAAAGGAGCATGTCAAGTGATTTTAGGAGGATAGGAAAATATGAGAAAGCCAAGACACCGCCCCTTAAGGGTGACGTTTAATGGAGTGAAGTATGTGACATAAGTTCTTCGGAATACAAGAAAATTGCAATGAGACAAGGATGGCAAACTTTGGTCAATAAGACAAGACCTCTCAAAAGAAGACAGAGAAAAGCTTAAAATGAACCTAATTCAAGCAAAAACATCTAAATGGGGATAGAAATGAAGAATAGAGAAAAAATTTTCTACAAAGTATCAGGGACTGGAAAGCTTGTGAAATGGTACATAAAAACAAGGCAACAAAATCATCAGTGGAAGGGGAAGTAAAGAGCAAAGGAAAAGGGAACATGTTCCTGAAAATTGTATATACCGACATAGATGGAGTGAGGTCAAAAACTTTTGGAGTTGCAAGATATAATTCGTCCCAGATATTGTCGCCTTATCAGAGACGAAACTCGAAGGAAATATATTAAATGAAGTCGTATTCCCAAGGGGCTATTCAGTTTGGAGACGTGACAGGGAAAACTAGGAAGGGAGGAGGAGTGGTTGTGCTGGTGAAAGAACACCTGAAGGTAAGAGAGTTAATATTTGAAAACCCTCGAGATATTGACATAATGGCATTGCCGGTCTGGCCTCAGGATGATAAGTTGATAATTTTAAATGCCTACAGCCCACCAGCAAGCAACACATGGACAAAGGAAGAACTGGATGACAAACGAGAGGGCCTCATAATGATCGTGAGAGAAATTATAATACAAGCAGATAAAGATAAATCACGACAGTTGATACTGAAGGACTTCAACTTTAAAGCAATAGACTGGGAGGCCTATAAAGCAAGAACGAAGGACTTTTGGACATGCAGATTTGTGAACCTCATTCTGGAGACATTCTTGTATCAACACAAAGCAGGCCACAAGAATGAGGGAAGGAGATGTACTATCAGTACTGGATCTACTATTCACCAGGAAAGAAGAAGAGATATTTGACATCCGGTACCTTCCTCCCTTGGGAAAGAGTGATCACGTACTGTTAGACATTAAATATGCTTCAAGATACCATCTAGAAGAAAATGGGGACATTGAAACAGTTGATAAATTCGATTTCAAGAGAGGTCACTATGGGGAATTTCGAAAAAAATTTAATGAGTGTAATTGGACAGACTTGTTGCTAGGTAGGGAAGTAAATTAAATGTATGCTAAATTTTGCAACGTATACGATGAAGGAACACAAACATTCATACTAAAACAGAGATGCAGGGCCAGAAAACAGGATTGGTTCAACAGAAATTGCAAGAGGGCCAGAGACCAAAAGACACAAAAATGGAATCAATATTAGAGGCCAAACCCCCAAAATACCAGCAATATAAAGATGCGAGAAATAACTATACGGCAGTAAGGAGAGGCAGAAAGAAATTTTGAAAGAGATAGTGGATAAATGTAAAACAGAACCAGGCCTATTCTACAAATTCATAAACAACAAATTGCAGGTAAAGATAATATCCAGAGGTTGAAAATGGGAAACATTCACGGAAAATGAAAATGATATGTGTGAAACTTTAAACGAAACGTTTCAAAGTGTGTTTGTACAAAACGAGCTCTTCAGAGAACCAGACAATAAGAATTCCAGAGAACAACATAGAGCACATAGAGGTGTCTAGAGATAAAGTGGAAAATATGCTAAAGGAGCTAAGTAAGAACAAAGCAGTTGGACCGGATGGAGTTTCACCATGGTTTCTGAGAGAATGTGCATCTGAGCTCAGCATCCACTTCACCTGATCTTTCAGGCATACCTGTGTACAGGAGTCGTAGCAGACGTGTGGAAAAAGGCTAACATAGTTCCAATCTACAAAAGTGGCAGCAATGAAGACCCCCCTCAATTAGAGACCTGTATCATTGACAAGTGTAATAGTCAAAATATTGGAAAAAATAATAAAAACTAAATGGGTAGAACACCTGGAGAGAAATTATATAATATCAGACAGACAGTATGGTTTTCAATCTGGAAGATCCTGTGTATCGAATTTACTGAGTTTCTATGATCGAGCCACAGAGATCTTACAGGAAAGATATGTTTGGGTTGACTGCATCTATTTGGACCTAAAAAAAGGCTTTCGACAGAGTTCCATATAAGAGGTTGTTCTGGAAACTGGAAAATATTGGAGGGGTGACAGGTAAACGTGTAGCATGGATGAAAAATTTTCGGACTGGTAGAAAAATGAGGGCAGTAATCAGAGAAAATGTATCGGACTGGAGAAACGTCACAAGTGGAGTACCACAGGGTTCAGTTCTTGCGCCGGTGATGTTCATGTCTACATAAATGATCTACCAGACGGTATACAGAATTATATGAACATGACTGCTGATGATGCTAAGATAATAGGAAGGATAAGAAACTTAGATGATTGTCATGCCCTTCAAAATAACCTAGACAAAATAAGTGTATGGAGCACCACTTAGCAAATGGAATTTAATGATAATAAATGTCATGTTATGGAATGTGGAATAGGAGACCATAGACCCCACGCAACCTATATATTATGTGAGAAATCTTTAAAGAATTCTGATAAAGAAAGAGATCTAGGGGTGGTTCTAGATAGAAAACTATCACCTGAGGACCACATAAAGAACATTGTGCGAGGAGCCTATGCCACGCTTTCTAACTTCAGAGTTGCTTTTAAATACATGGATGGCGATATACTAAAGAAATTGTTCACGACTTTTGTTAGGCCAAAGCTAGAATATGCAGCGGTTGTGTGGAGTCCATATCTTAAGAAGCACATCAACAAACGGGAAAAGGTGCAAAGACATCCTACTAAGTGGCTTCCAGAACTGAAGGGCAAGAGCTACGAGGAGAGGTTAGAGGCATTAAATATGCCAAAACTAGAAGACAAAAGAAAAAGAGGCGATATGATCACTATGTACAAAATAGTAACCGGAATTGATAAAATCGATAGGGAAGATTTCCCGAGACCTGGATCTTCAAGAACAAGCGGTCATAGATTTAAACTAGTTAAACACAGATGCCGAAGAAATATAAGAAAATTCACTTTCGCAAACAGAGTGGTAGACGGTTGGAACAAGTTAGGTGAGAAGGTGGTGGAGGCCAAGACTGTCAGTAGTTTCAAAGCGTTATATGACAAAGAGTGCTGGGAAGACGAGACACCACGAGCGTAGCTCTCATCCTGTAACTACACTTAGGTAATTACACACACACACACACACACAAAAAAAAGCCCCACACAATCAGTGCAGTCTATTGAGTCGCAGTATAAGTTGATATCTACCGAGTGTTAGGGTATCAGGTGCAAATATATATATACTGCACCGAGTGTGGGTAATATAGTGAGTAGAGTATACCACAACTGTTATGCTGTATACACAACATACTGAATGGGAACATTATAACTAGTGTGGGGTAGTACTGCATATATTTCAATAGCAGCATAATGTATACAGCATACTGTATGTGAGCAGCATACCAAGTGTGGTATAGTGTACACAACACACACCAAGTGTGGTATAGTGTACACAACACACACACCAAGTGGTATAATGTACACAACAAAGTGATACGAGTGTCCCTATCACTCATTAATTCTGTAGTGGCTTTATTAAAAAATAAAATGTCTACCGTGTCACTACTTTACCATGTCCACTGTATAAATACTTGTACTGTATACTGTACTATATAAATACTGTACACTGTATGACTAAATGATTATTTACCTTGATCCATCTCGACCTTGATCCTCGGAGCATCCTCTTCCGATGAGAGGCAGACAATGTCATCATCAGACGGAGCTCTGCTGGAGACTTGAACTTCTGCGCCAGCTTCCAGGTTAGCGCTCACTTCCGCTACAAGACGCTCAACCTGTGACCAAATACTCATCAACACACTATACAAATTTCAACCATTCCTCAAAAAATGAGAGCACTGTGCTACAGTGAGGGCTACAGAAAATAATATGGTGTTTAACGAAGATAAGTTCCAGCTCATGCGCTACGGAAAAAATGAAAATATAAAAACAGAAACCACGTACAAAATGCAGTCAAATCATAACATAGAACGAAAAGGCAATGTAAAGGATTTGGGTGTACATTACTCATGTCGGAAGACCTTACATTTAAAGAACACAATAAAGTAGCCAATGATTATACTTTTCAAGATGCTAGTGCTCTCTAGAGTGAAATACTGCTGCACAATGACAGCCCTCTTTCAAAGCTAGAAAAATTGCAGACCTGAAGAGCGTACAGAGATCCTTTACTGCTAGAATCCACTCAGTAAAACATCTAAACTATTGGGACCGACTAAAGAGCCTAAATCTGTATTCTCTTGAGCGCAGGCGGGAGAGATACATAATAATTTACACATGGAAAATAGTAGAGGGGGCTGGCCCCAAACCTGCTCACAGAAATAACATCACATGAGACCAGAAGGAATGGCAGTATGTGCAGAATACCCCCATTGAAAAGCAAAGGTGCAACAGGTATTCTGAGAGAGAACTCTATCAACATCAGAGGCCCGAGACTGTTCAACATGTTTCCACTACACATAAGGGGACATAACTGGCCGACCCCTCACAGTGTTCAAGAGAGAACTGGATAAGCACCTCCAAAGGATACCTGATCAACCAGGCTGTGACTCATACGTTAGGTTGTGAGCAGCAGCGTCCAACAGCCTGGTTGACCAGTCCAGCAACAAGGAGGCCTGGTCGACGACCGGGCCGTGGGGTCGCTAAGCCTCGAAATCACCTCAAGGTAAGGTGGCAGCCATTCTTGTTTTGCTCACTATACTAGCTTAGTGTTCCGCTATGGTGAACACATATGTACATAGGTATACACTGTATACAATGTGTGCATATACCCATGTACATATGTGCGCTGTATTGTGGTAGGAGGAATTTTGGTGGAGGGGAGGGAGGGAATCCAGGTAGCGTCACTGAGTGGCAGCCACTCTTGTTTTGCTCACCATGATAGCTTAGTGGTTTGCTATGGTGAACACACACATGTACATGGGTATATACAATGTGTGTATATAGTGTAATAACAGCAACAGGAGTATGTTGGGAGGAGCCAGTTTGGTGAGGGAGGTGGTGTCGTAATCGTAGCGTCGTCTGCTGGCTGCTGTGTGATTTCTCATGCAGTGTATGGTGGCCACTGTGCTGTTTGGACACAATACCGGCTTACTTGCATAATTATGGTGAATAAAACATGTAGATACGTATACATAACATCTGTAAATAGTGTAATAAAAACAATAACAGTATGGTCAGAGGAGGAATGTTGGGGAGTATGGTGTAAGGAGTAAGCTAGGTGTTGGAGGAGTGAGGCAGAGCTGGCTGGGTGCGGCAGCTCACACTCGCAGAGCTCTGAGTGTGTTGATGGTGAATGTATATAGTGCATGATACTGTATAGTGTGTAAATATGTTGTAAATATATACAAGTGAACATGAAACATTGGATATATGAGCAATATATTTGGACACATTTGAGACACACATAACACAGTGTCTTGGGACAGTATGGATGTTCTACTGCCATAATATAGTGTACATGTTCATTATACATAGGATTGGCTTTCTTCCATGTCATGGGAAGGCTGAACAAAAACACTGTGGTCGCCTCTCTCCATCAACGAGGAGGCGACGGGCCACCCAGCACCTCGGATGCATTTCCGATGGTTCCTATATAAAAGGGGTGACGCCGAGGAAAATAAGACTCGCGTCCCTACAAAAAAAAAAAAAAAAAAGACTACTGCTCTTTTAAACAAAAGTGATGTATAATAAACAAAACAAATGTATTTGGAAATGTACGCAAAAAATTAACAAAAAAATATTTGTGGCAACTCGCGCATGTTGAAGCTGGCGGGTGACTGGCTCCAGGAGTCTATGTCACAGACGATCATCAAATAGTGACGTCACACACCATTTTCCGGACCCCGCTGCGGGCCAAAGAAAGTATAATTTCTATTTTTTTTTTTTTTTTTTTTTTTTTTTTTTTTTTTTTTTTTTACATATCTGTGATCAGGGAAGGGTATTTAACATTTTTAAAAACAAAAAAAAAATTTCCAGAGAATTTATTTCCTGCGCACAGGAATGCCATAAAGTATCTGTTACGACCAAAAAAAAAAAATGACAGGTTGGATAATAAGAATCTTCCAAACAATGGATGCCATACCAATGATGATACTTTTTAAGACACTAATGCTCACTAGGGTGGATTATTGCACTAACAGCCTCATTCAGAGCCGGAAAAATTGAAGACTTAGAAAGCGTGCAAAGATCCTTTACTGCTAGAATCCACTCTTAAGTCATCTTAATTATTAGGACCACCTAAAATGCCTAAATCCGTATTCTCTTGAGCGCAGGCAGGAGAGATGCATAATATCTACATGTGGAGGATATTAGAGGGACTAGTTCCAAATCTGAACACAGAAATTACATCACATGAGACCAGTAGGCATGGCAGGATGTGCAAAATACTCCCATTGAAAAGCAGAAGTGCAATAGGTAAGCTGAGGGAGAACTCTATCAACATCAAGGCCCCAAGACATTTCAACACTCCCGCTACACGTAAGAAACATAACTGGCCGGCCTCTCACAGTGTTCAAGAGAAGATTCGACAAGCACCTCCAAAGAATACCTGATCAACCAGGTTGTGATTCAAAGATCAAGCTGCGAGCAGCCACATCCAACAGACTTGTTGACTAGACGACCAACTGCAAGGCCTGGTTGGAGACAGGGTCGCAGGGCTGTTGATCCCCGGAAGCTACACAAAGTAGGTGGCATGGGTTTTGGTGAAAGCTCCAAATACTGCATATGTCTCTGTGAGGAGGCCATTAGGAAGGGCACTTTTTGTTTTGTTTTGTTTTTAGTCCTTGGGTAGGACTAAACTACCCTAAACTTTAGAATGGGTAGGGAGGATGCACAGGATTGCAGGAACGATGGTTATGAAGGCAGGGAGGATGGGAAGGGAGGCAGGAGTCACACTTGGCAAACCATAACTATCTTCTCCCTACAGTTGTCCAGTAGAGGTTCATCCCCAAAGTCTGGAGTCCATCGTTCCGAACCTAACCCAGATTTGCATGAAATCCAGAATTTGTACTGTTTTTAGAGGTATCCATTATGGAATGGTCCATATAAGGGAGGTGCCACTATATAAATAGTGTAACTTATAACAACATGAACACAGTTTGTCTTACCTGTTGACTGTTATAATAACGTAAACATAATCTACCTTACCTGTTGCTGCTCCAAGTATTCTCTGAGAGCAACTCTCTTCTCCTGGAGTCGCTGAAGACGGAGTTGTTCTTCCTTCTGCGCCACCAGGGTGTCGTCTTCCAGCTTGTCGTCACTAATAATATCTCGGATGTTTCGGCGCAAGTTTTTCACTTTGGGTTTAGCACTTAGTCCAGATACGGCGCCGCTTCGCCTTCTGAGCTTCCGGCGTCTGGAGTCCTCATCAGAATCAGAGTCGTCACCTTCATCATCTGATGATTTAGATTCGTCTCTCTTTCTTCTCTCACTATCTCTATCTCTTTCACTGTCTTTCTCGTCTTCCGATATATTTTTCCGACATTTCCTTTTGACTTTCGGAGCCGGTGCGATAACATCGGTATTTCCACTAACGTGTCGTCTTTTGGCTCTTAGTCTCCTTATTTTGTTATCATCGTCCTCGTCACCTCCATCACTACCTCCTGCTTGTTGTTCTTTGTCTGAGTCCATCTCGTCAAGGCTATCGTTCCGAGTGCCTCCCTCTTTGCTATTACCCTGCCTGCTCTCAATCTTTGGACTGCTGATGCTGATGTTGTCCCCGATGCTACTAAGAGCAGCATTTTCAGCAGCAGCATTTCCAGCATCACAGTCCATGTTCTCATCAACTCTTGCCGGGCTCGCACCCTCACTATTTCTGTCACAACTTTCTGCCTTGCTGCCCGGACGACTAAACGCACTAGTGCTTTCATTTCTATCTTCACTACTACTTTCTATATGCAGAGAATTGGGTGGGGGAGTTCTTACACTTTCGACACCAGTATCACACTCACCAAAGTCAGCACACTCACTCTCCTGTAGTTCCTGTGTGTGTCCTACATCACCACTTACATCCTTGACTACCTCCCCATCCTCTTTCCCAGAGTCACACGAGTTTTCACTGAACCTCACATCATCAACAGTAATCATTTCCTGTTCGATCACTTCTGTTTGTGGATGTGTGTCTGGTTTGTCGTCCATGTGCGGCATGTGGTCCCCATCACTACTGTTGCTGCTACTGCTGCTGCTGCTGCTGTTGCTGTCCTGATCATGTTGCACGGCCTCTGGCTTTTCCCGTTCCGGGTCGTCAAGGGCCAGCGGGTCAGCCAGAGGATCGGTCTCAGGTTCGTCAGGCCAACCCGGGACCTTCTCATCCTCGCCTTCCTTCTGCGGATCCATCTTTGTACTCGAGTTCACAGACTCTGCAGTGATAAAATAGTCCAACATTAGTCATACACCCAAACAAATGTTCAGTCATACGGCCACAAAAACATTTATAGCGAATCATATGACAAGTGAAACATTTACACCGAGTCACACACCCACAGAAACCTTCAGCTATATGACCACAGAAATGTTTACAGAGAGCCATACAACATTTACACCGAGTCAGAGAGAATGACATTTACACCGAGTCAGCTACAAATATGTTTAGTCATACCACTCGCAGAAATGCTTACAAACTTAAAATCAAATCCAAATGATGTATTCATAATATGGTTACTTACCTACCTACCTTGTGGGTACAATCTTTTCAGATGTGATAGGAAACACCGGCTTCAGGGTGGGGTCAGCCTCTACATCAAAGACACACTCATCTGTACTGAGCTGCTAAACACCTCAAATGATATGGTGGAAGTGCTGATAATCAAAATAGAGATCCTAAATGTAGTTATCGTCCTTGTATTTAAGTCACCAGAGGCAAACCCTCAGCAGTTTAAAGACCAACTAATGAAAATAGAACACTGCTTGGAAAACCTCACAAATCCAGCTCCGAACATCATTCTGCTTGGGGACTTCAACCTACGGCACCTGAAATGGAAGCACCTGGCTAATACAGTAATATCAGAACGAGTAATAGGAAGTAGCCTAAATGAACAGGCACATGCAAATGACCTGCTACGGATGTGCGACAGGTTTGCCTTAAACCAGCAAATAGTAGAACCAACTAGGAAGGAGAACACGCTGGACCTCATTTTCACTAATAATGATGAATTGATTGGGAACAATGATTACAAATACCTGTTACTCAGATCACAACTTAGTTGAAGTTCTGACAACCATGGGGAATAAACCTTCAAAACCAGTCCAGATTCCCAGTGAAGGAGATTTCAGCAAATTCAACTTCAATAATAAACAGATAAACTGGGAGCAAATAAACCAGGACTTCACAGAAATAAACTAGGAAGAACAGCTAGAAAATGCAAACCTGAACCAGTGCCTGGAAAAAAATAAGCTCAGTAGCACTAGAAATATGTTCAAGCCGCATACCCCTAACAAAAAAGATAGATACCGATGATGATACTTTTCAAAATGCCTGTGCTCTCTAGAGTGGAGTACTGCTGCACAATGACAGCCCCTTTCAAAGCTAGAGAAATTGCTGACCTGGAGAGCGTGCAGAGATCCTTTACTGCTAGAATCCACTCAGTAAAACATCTAAATTACTGGGACCGACTAAAGAGCCTAAATCTGTACTCCCTTGAGCGCAGGCGGGAGAGATACATATTAATTTACACGTGGAAAATAATTGAGGGGCTGGTCCCAAACCTGCATACAGAAATAACATCACATGAGACCAGAAGACATGGCAGGATGTGCAGAATACCCCCGTTGAAAAGAAGAGGTGCAACAGGTACTCTGAGAGAACTCTATCAACATCAGAGGCCCGAGACTGTTCAACACGCTTCCACTACACACAAGGGGCATAACTGGCAGACCCCTCACAGTGCTCAAGAGAGAATTGGATAAGCACCTCCAAAGTATACCTGATCAACCAGGCTGTGACTCATACGTCAGGCTGCGAGCAGCCGCGTCCAACAGCCTGGTTGATCAGTCCAGCAACCAGGAGGCCTGGTCGACGTCCGGGCCGCAGGGACGCTAAGCCCCAGAAGCACCTCAAGGTAACCTCAAGGTGGGTAGTTGAGCTAATTTAAACAAATTTTCAGTTAATTATTTCATAAGAAAAAGTCATAATAGTAACACAACATGTAATATCTATAATTACATACTGTATATTCAAGATATATAGTACCATATATTTTTCTTTAGAAACTATGTTTATCAGTGATTTAAAAATCAGTCTAAATAAAAAAAAAATTTTTTTACAATAACATTTAGTTCATAATCTGAAATGTGATATGTTGGTAAAACAAGGTGCAGTTTACCATTAGAGCAGTAGGACAGTTTACTATTAGAGCAGTAAGAGACATATTACAGTATATTAGAGCAGTAAGAGTTTACCATTTAAACAGTTTACCTTTGGGACAGTAAGATAGTATATATTTGAGCAGTAAGATAGACAGTTTACTATTAGAGCAGTAAGATGGTTTACCATTCGAGGAGGAAGACAGTTTACCATTAGAGCAGTAAGACATTTTACCATTAGAGCAGTAAGACAGACATTGGCACAACTTTTATCACAAAATTAGGAGGATAAGACAATGTAAGGAACTGAAACGTTGCCCACAGAAATTTTTATTGCGAGTCATTCGACCACAGAAACATTTTCAGTGAGTCATACGCCCACAGGAATGTTTTCAGCGAGTCATTCGACCACAGGATAATTTAATGAGTCATACGCCCACAGGAATGTTTTCAGCGAGTCATACACCCACGGGAAAGTTTTCAGTGAGTCATATGCCCATATGAATGTTTTCAGCAAGTTGTACACCGAACAGGACTGTTTACAAGGGAACTATCAGGTGGAAAGCGCCAAGCCATTACGACTATATAGCACTTGGAAGGGATCAGGACAAGGATTTGGGATAGGATGGGGGGAAGGGATGGTGCCCAAACCACTTGGACGGTCGGAGATTGAACGCCGACCTGCATGAAGCAAGACCTATGCTACATCTTACCTTGAGGTTGGTTCCTGGCAACACGGGTTCATAAGAGGTGACCCCTGCCCCTCACAAGACCACCATGACATGGTCTTAGCTCACAGGACAACACGGGTTCGGAACAGGGATGACATGCAAAATGCTATTGCATTATGCACACACTTTTGCTAAACCGTTTGACAAAGGTAACCACAGTGTTGCAATACTCAACACAAAAGGAATTTATGGCTAAGTAGGAAGACGGATCTTTAATTTCAATAACAAAACCGAATTGTAATGGTCATTCAAAATCGTATTATGTCATGAAAAGTTCCGTCCTCCCAGGGCACAGTGCTTCTTATAGCTCAGTCCCCCAGGGCACAGTGCTTCTTATAGCCCAGTCCCTCAGGGCACAGTGCTTCTTATAGCCCAGTCCCCCAGGGCACAGTGCTTCTTATAGCTCAGTTCCCAAGGGCACAGTGCTTCTTATAGCTCAGCCCCCCAGGGCACAGTGCTTCTTATAGCTCAGTCCCCCAGGGCACAGTGCTTCCTATAGCTCAGTCCCCCAGGGCATGGTGCTTCTTATAGCTCAGCCCCCCCCCCAGGGCACAGTGCTTCTTATAGCCCAGTCCCCCAGGGCACAGTGCTTCTTATAGCTCAGCCCCCAGGGCACAGTGCTTCCTATAGCTCAGTCCCCCAGGGCACAGTGCTTCTTATAGCCCAGTCCCCCAGGGAACAGTGCTTCTTATAGCTCAGTCCCCCAGGGCACAGTGCTTCTTATAGCTCAGTTCCCAAGGGCACAGTGCTTCTTATAGCTCAGCCCCCCAGGGCACAGTGCTTCTTATAGCTCAGTCCCCCAGGGCACAGTGCTTCCTATAGCTCAGTCCCCCAGGGCATGGTGCTTCTTATAGCTCAGCCCCCCCAGGGCACAGTGCTTCTTATAGTTTAGTCACCCAGGGCACAGTGCTTCTTATAGCTCAGTCCCCCAGGGCACAGTGCTTCTTATAGCCCAGACCCCCAGGGCACAGTGCTTCTTATAGCTCAGCCCCCCAGGGTACAGTGCTTCTTATAGCTCAGTTCCCAAGGGCACAGTGCTTCTTATAGCTCAGCCCCCCCAGGGCACAGTGCTTCTTATAGCTCAGTCCCCCAGGGCACAGTGCTTCCTATAGCTCAGTCCCCCAGGGCATGGTGCTTCTTATAGCTCAGCCCCCCCCAGGGCACAGTGCTTCTTATAGCCCAGTCCCCCAGGGCACAGTGCTTCTTATAGCTCAGCCCCCAGGGCACAGTGCTTCCTATAGCTCAGTCCCCCAGGGCACAGTGCTTCTTATAGCTCAGTCCCTCAGGGCACAGTGCTTCTTATAGCTCAGTCCCCCAGGGCACAGTGCTTCTTATACCTGTCCCCCAAGGCACGGTGCTTCTTATAGCTCAGCCCCCCAGGGCACAGTGCTTCTTATAGCTAAGCCCCCCAGGGCACAGTGCTTCTTATAGCTCAGCCCCCCAGGGCACAGTGCTTCTTATAGCTCAGTCCCCCAGGGCACAGTGCTTCTTACAGCTCAGTCCCCCAGGGCACAGTGCTTCCTATAGCTCAGTCCCCCAGGGCACAGTGCTTCCTATAGCTCAGTCCCCCAGGGCACGGTGCTTCTTATAGCTCAGTCCCCCAGGGCACGGTGCTTCTTATAGCTCAGCCCCCCAGGGCACAGTGCTTCTTATACCTCAGTCCCCCCAGGGCACGGTGCTTCTTTCTTATAGAACTTCTTAAGACATAAACTAGGACACAAAGCACAGTCCCCCAGGGCACAGTGGGGGGCCTGTGAAACAGTAACAGTGACGCTAACAGAAACGGGAGGACATCATCAAAAGATATAAGCAATTAACAGGATAACCGTAACATGAGGATAACAAGAAAATGATAGCAACAGAAGGATACCAGCAACAGGAGGGTAATCAAATCAAATCAAATCAAATCAAATCAACAGGAGGATAACAGTACAAGATTAGAAACATATGTAACTTGTATGAGGAATGAAATAGTTAACACGTCGCATTTATTAACGTAATCATCAAGAAATCGAAACATACGGCATATTCTGGTTAGATAAAACAGTTGCAATTTTTAACGCAGAAAGGGTGAGAGCGTGTGATGTTTTCTCCCCTCGAGGAGCATTACAGTATTGACCCATTACTGACGGCCGCCGCTCCCCGACTGACACCCACATGCTATGTCAGCCGTGTACGAAACACCTTGCTGCCGCCCTCCAGCAACACAACCTGCCGCCAGACGCACGATATAACCTGCCAGACGAACGACACTAAACATCCTTTAACAACCACCACAACAACAACAGTAGTCCACATATTCCGTTAAACAAGCATGTCTAAAACTA